TGTTTTTTATACTTTTTCAGGACACATACTATAGTATTTTTATACATTTTCAGGACACATACTAAAGTATGTTTTTTACACATTTTCAGGACACATACTAAAGTATGTTGTTTTTTATACTTTTTCAGGGCAAATACTACAGTATGTTTTTTCTCTACATTTTCAAGATACATACTAAAGTATGTTGTTTTTTATACTTTTTCAGGACACATACTACAGTATGTTTTTAATACATTTTCAGGACACATACTAAAGTATGTTTTTTTTACACATTTTCAGGACACATACTAAAGTATGTTGTTTTTTATAATTTTTCAGGTCACATACTACAGTATGTTTTTTAATAATTTTCAGGACACATACTAAAGTATGTTTTTTACACATTTTCAGGACACATACTAAAGTATGTTGTTTTTTAAACTTTTTCAGGGCAAATACTACAGTATGCTTTTTAATACATTTTCAGGACACATACTAAAGTATGTTTTTTTACACATTTTCAGGACACATACTAAAGTATGTTGTTTTTTATACTTTTTCAGGACACATACTAAAGTATGTTTTTTTACACATTTTCAGGACACATACTATAGTATGTTGTTTTTTATACTTTTTCAGGACACATACTATAGTATTTTTATACATTTTCAGGACACATACTAAAGTATGTTGTTTTTTATAATTTTTCAGGTCACATACTACAGTATGTTTTTTAATACATTTTCAGGACACATACTAAAGTATGTTTTTTACACATTTTCAGGACACATACTAAAGTATGTTGTTTTTTAAACTTTTTCAGGGCAAATACTACAGTATGCTTTTTAATACATTTTCAGGACACATACTAAAGTATGTTTTTTTACACATTTTCAGGACACATACTATAGTATGTTGTTTTTTATACTTTTTCAGGACACATACTACAGTATGTTTTTTCTCTACATTTTCAAGATACATACTTTAGTATGTTGTTTTTTTATACATTTTCAGGAAACATACTATAGCTTGGCTTTTTATTCATTTTCATGACACATACTATAGTTTGTTGTTTTTTATACTTTTTCAGGACACATACCACAGTATGTTACTTAATACATTTTCAAGACACATACTATAGTATGTTTATTTTTATACTTTTTCAGGACCCATACTATAGTATTTTTAAACATTTTCAGGACACATACTACAGTATGTCATTTCCTTTCTATTATGATGCTGCCTTTGATTCTGAATGAGATTCTGTGGCCACTAATAGGCGACTAAGTCAGCTCCGAGACTAAATATTTCACTCTACGTATCGTTTCTTTTTGTCTCAGGTGTTTGGGCTAGCCCGGAGAAGGAACGTGTAAAGTGACAAATGAAATTTACTTCCGCTGACAATAATGGCATACGACAGTTAAACCAATAAAATGGGATTTTTCCATCTTCTTTTTGCTAAATGTTTGGTAATTTTAAAAGGGGCGCATATATTTTGGAGTCCTATGGATTGTCTTTGCTTTTTGCAGATGATGTGGTCCTGTTGGCTTCATCAGAATGTGATCTCCGGCTCTCGTTGGAGCGGTTTGCAGCTGAGTGTGGAGCAGCTGGGATGAGAATCAGCTCCACTAAATCTGAGACCATGGTCTTGATTCGCAAATGGGTAGAATGCCTTCTCCGGGTCAGGGACGCGGTCCTGCCCCAAGTGGAGGAGTTTAAGTATCCTGGGGTCTTGTTCACGAGTGAGGGAAAGCTGGAGCGTGAGATCGACAGGTGGATTGGTGCTGCATGTGCAGTGAGGCGGGCGTTGTACTGATCTGTCGTGTTGGAGAGCTGAGCCGGAAGGCAAAGCTCTCGATTTACCGGTCGATCTATGTTCCTACCCTCACCTATGGTCACGAGCTTTGGGTAGTGACCGAAAGAACAAGATCGTGGATACAAGCGGCCAAAATGAGTTTTCTCCGCAGGGCGTCTGGGCTCTCCCTTAGAGATAGGGTGAGAAGCTCGGTCATGTGGGAGGGGCTCGGAGTAGACCCGCTGCTACTCCACATCAAGAGGAGCCAGTTGAGGTGGCTTGGCCATCTGGTCAGGATGCCTCCTGGATGCCTGCCTGGTGAGGTTTTCTGGGCACGTCCAACCGGGAGGACACCTAAAGGTAGACCCAGGACACGGTGGAGGGACTATGTCTCTCACTTGGTCAGAGAACACCTTGGGATTCCCCCGGAGGAGCTGGTGCAAGTGGCTGGGGAGAGGGAAGTCTGGGCCCCACGACCCGACTCCGGATAAGTGGAAGAAAATGGATGGATGGATGTTTTAGACAAAGATTTATTGTGAACAGCAATGAATGTAAATTTTGTTTGAAAGTTGTCATGAAAGTATCACAGTGACCAGCATTCATCCCAGCATGCGTTGCGATCCCAATTTGGCAATTATTTTCACTAGTGTACTTCACACTCGAAGCCTTACTGCGCACTTTGTCCAAGTGTACTTCGCTGAAGACTGCAGGGTGCAGTGAGAGTACTGGGATTGGGCCTGAGACACAGCGAGACTGAAAACTCAAGTTGGAGAACAAACTGATGTCAAAATAAAATGTGAATAAGAACAAAAATTGACATTTTGGGCTGCAGTTGCTCACAGAATAGGCTTGTGTATTAATCTGAGTATTATTATTATTATTATAGTCTAATCAGTCAATTTAATAATTGACTATCTGTAAAACTAATAATGAACTTAGAGGGGAAACCTTTTCTCATGTAGTCCCACCAAGATATTCTTTCACCAGCCGCCACTGGATCACCGTATTACGGAAGAGGATCAGGGCCACTGAAAATAAAATAAAGGGAATTCTAACTTTTTTTGTCAGAATTCTTTTTTTGTTTTGTTTTTTGTTTTTTTTTACTTCTTTTTTATTTTTTATTAAATTTTCTGTTTTATCATCAGATAAAACATGCATACAACAAAATTAAACAAAGCAGACAAAAACAAGAAAAATAAACAAATAATGAAGGCAGTATCTTTGGGTTTTACCGGTTTATTTACCCAATTTTCATACAGTTCATTGTTATCATCCACATCCAAAGACCCTTAAAAGTATAAAGTCCATTTCTCCCATTTTTTGAAATAAATTTCTTCTCTCAGTCTCAGATGAGGGGTAATCGTTTCCATCTTATATATATATATATATATATATATATATATATATATATATATATATATATATATATATATATATATATATATATATATATATATATATATATATATGAAATCTCTTTTTTTCCTCTCAGTGGCCCTAATCCTCTTCCGTACTATTTGCCAAACTGACGTTGACAAATTTTTTTATGTTTGATTGTGTTGAATGTTACCCTAATGCTGGTCTGTTTAAATGAAAACCATCAGATGGTCCAAGAGTCTTGTGTGATCAGTGATCACTTAGATCTCAGAGTGTGTGTTCAGAATGACTTTTAAAACATTTTTATCTCACTGTTTATGTTTATGTATTTAGCAGACACTTTTGTCCAAAGCGACTTACAACTTAATGTCCCTAATAGATCGATTATCTGCTGCAGTGATATTCAATCAAGTTGACTCCAAACGTCAATCCGTTTCTAAATGTGTGTCCAATAAAAATTTGTTGAGTTTACTTAAAATTAAAATTTCTTTGTGCAAAAAAAATTCACCTCTAAGTGGCAGAAGACCAAACAGTGATAATAAGAAACTATTGGTATAGTATAGTATAGTATAGTATAGTATAGTATAGTATAGTATAGTATAGTAGTATATTATAGTATAGTATAATATATAGTATAGTATAATATGTAGTATAGTATAGCATATAGTATAGTATAGTATATAGTATAGTATAGTACAGTATAGTATATTATAGTAGTATATTATAGTGTAGTATAGTATAGTATAGTAGTATAGTGTAGTGTAGTATAGTATAGTATAGTAAAGTATTTATAGACTGATAAAGGTCTTCTATTAACGTTGTTTTGTTCTCTGATCACAATTTTGTTTTAATTCTCACCTCCATCCGCCTCCAAGCAGGACTTGTTTTTTTTTTTTCTCCAGTAGATTAGACTGGAGCAATTAAGCTGACCAGAAGATGAACCACGCTCACGCTGAAGATTTAGAGCACTGAGCCCATTTGCCATTTACCAGCCGTAGCAATTAGTGAACTCAAAATATCCCCGATTGGTTTCACTTTCTTAACAGTCAAAAGTCAAAGGGGAGGATTTGCAGTGGAGCAAACTAACGGAGGATGGGCTGGCTGCTGGCCACGCAGCTAAGAAGAATTGACATTCAGCTAGCAGCTACGGCAGTGTGGATTTACAAGCATTTGGCAAGAGGCTTGAATTAATTTCAGTCCTTGCAGATGTGTGTAGTTTAGGACATCATTTACGAACATTAGGGGCCCTATGTAACCAGAGCCCGGTGAGTCTGACACTTGTTTTGCTCCGTTTCAGCAAATAAAATGGTATTTTCTTCTCTTGAGAAACCTCTTGTTTGCAGAAATTCAAAAATTAAAATCATAACGGCAGCATTTGGCTAAATCTCACTGATATTTTAGAATAATCTGAAGGGATGTTGGAGGAAGTCAAAATCAGAGTGGTGGATCAGGCTACCTGCAGTTACGTCCCCCTGTCTTCCTTCAATCTATCCTTAAATACATGTTGTCTTGGGATTAAACGATACTGTTTTTATCCGGCTACTATCCGCCCGCGCTCCACCCACCCTTTGCTCCTTGGCTCTTTCCATTTAGAGGGAGCTCTATTATCTTTGGACCCATCTGTCGCAAGGATTTAGATAAATTCATGATGCTTAATGTCATTGTTATGACTTCAGCACTTAATACGCCACTCTGCTTTGTACATATTGTCCAAATAGGGTAACGTTTAATATTTCATAATCTCATAAGTACACGATTGCTATTTCACCTTAATAATCTTTCATACTAATCTACTGGATTCATACGTGGGATTGAGGATTGTGGGGGCTTTTTCCAACAAATAAATTGTGAAAGACTCTCCACTTGTGGAAAAAAGTGATCCTAATTAAAGATATTACAAATAAAATTCAGTAAAGCAGCCTTTCTGTGCTGACTTTGAGAATCAGCCCAGTGTGATCTTTGGCCCTAGGCCTCCACACATGCACATCCGTGCACGTAGACACACACATAGGCGGGGATGAAGTCTGCCAATCCTGGCAAAAAAAAAAAAAAAAAACTCTGACAGATGACCGAGTCTCTGCCGTTGCAACATCTGCAAGAGTCTCTGCAGTCATTAAGCCCCTCGAGCTTTAAGGAAGATGGCCTGACTGGAAAATCACAAAGCGAGAAACGCGGATAAATTACTGTCTAAAAATGGGATGGATATCGACGTGTATTCACCTCGCGCCACAGCTCATCCACGGGAGGTTCATAAGCTTCACTTGAATCCATGGGAGGAGCTCCGTGAAGCTGAATCTGATGAATTGCTAGAAAGTTCACTCACGACGGGAGCGGGCATTTGGAATGTTTTCATGTGAGCAAGTCGCATCTCGTTCGCCTTGATCACGTTTGTGTTTTTATTTAAAAATGACAATTCAGAGTCTTTTCAAGGAGTTTACTTGAAGATCTTTGAGAACTGGACAGATGTGACCTTCGGGACGGAGACACTGGGTGCTGAAATCCAGATAACGCTGGTTTTAATCCTCTGCTGTCAAACCTGAGCCGGAACAATAAGGTAGGAATAAAACAAAGTCGAAGGAAAATATTTTGTCTTTTGAACTTGACACAGTTCTGTTTGATGCCTTTAAACAATACAAAAGAAAAACTCTTTGGACTAAAAAGCAGCCGTGTGTGAACTCAACAGTCATGAAAAACGCTGAAAATCTCTGCTCATTAAGCTCCTCCTAAATAAAACTTCAGCTTCACCGCTTCTGTTATTTGTTCAAACTGTATTTAATGTCTCGCTTGTTTGTTTGTTTATTTATTTATTTAATCATTTATTCTGTCTTTTTCTGCTAAAACCTCTTTAAAAGAATCCCCTCACCATGGAGCATTCACCGTCTATGACCTCATCAGGGGTAGGAGAGGAGGTAGAAGAGCACAGACCCCTCCTCCCACCTAGAATGATTGCTCCACCTCAAGCCTACTCACCTCAGTGTGGGATACACCACACGGTCCAAACATCCATCGATCACACTGTGTGGCTGGACAGAACCCAGGCCCTGGCGACGACACCTTTATACAACGGTCACCTTTACGTCACGGCTACGCCTCGGCCCACCAGGAGGAGGGAGAAAACTAAAAGCAAAGAGAAAAAGTGTGAGAAAAGGTCAGGGGAATGCAGACAAAACCCAGCGCACCGGGAGCGAAATCACCAGTGCAAAGCCAAAAGCGCAGGCTCAAACAAACTCCAGGAGAAGGTCACGTCGTTCACCGACGTTCCCATTTCTCCATGTGGATCTCCGTTTGAGGGTCCCAGCAGGCCAGACGTAGAAGTGAGGGATGTTGATTGCCGAGGTTATCGCAAAACGGGTCATGTTTCATTAGAGATGCGCGATCGCCAGAGTCTGCCTGAAATAATCATCACCAGCAAGGATGACGACGTCCAACCACAAAACACGGCTTCCCAGTATCATCAGCATCCAGGGGAAGCCAAAGGCCCGCTCCCTGGACTTGAACGCATCAGGAGGAACCGCAGTCCCAGTCCCAGTCCTCAGCACAGCCCAAAACGCAAGGAGGATGCCAACATGGACCCCTACTGGAGGACGCACAACATTGGGTGGCGGCTGGTCCACAGGAGGGCTCTGTTTCTGAGGAGGCAGCGGATGAACGACAGCGCTCTGGCGGTGGGGATATTTGGAGTGGTCATGATGGTCATGGAGACAGAGCTATCCTGGAGCATCTACAGCAAGGTCAGAGTACTAGTGGTCTAAGTTCGTAGACTGAGCATCATACTGACAGTCATCAGCTAAAACTGATGTCATAATGTAGAAGTTTAAATGTGTGTATGTGTGCATCTCTCCCATAGAGCTCCATTTACTCCCTGACAGTAAAGTCCATCATCAGTGTGTCTACACTCATCTTGCTGGGCCTCATCGTGGCGTACCACTGCTGTGAAGTGCAGGTGACCCAACGGTTCACTGTTACACAGTCAATCCAAAATAAGTCTAATTTTGCCTAATAGATTAATTTCCCATGTCTGTGGCAGTTATATGTTCATGACATTGGTGCAGAGGATTGGCGAATTGCCATGACAACTGACCGCATAGCTCTGATTGCCCTGGAGCTAGCAGTGGCGGCCATTCATCCTTATCCGGTGGGGCTCCAGGCATATTTTCAAAAGACCACAACAAGAACGACGCTCTCAGAAACAGAGCTGGAGGTCATGTTGGCTCTGCCCATGTTTCTAAGGCTCTACCTGCTGGGTCGGGCCATGATGCTGCACAGCCGCCTCTTCACCGACACCGCCTCCCGAAGCATCGGAGCGCTCAATAAGGTGGGAGATCACTCCATGTATTCGTTCAGAAATCTGGCGCTGAACGAAGATCCCAACATATTTAAATAGAAAAAAGAAAGAAGCAAATGAACAATCTGCACTTTTGATTTTAAGACGTGTTTGTGTCTTGTGTTTAGGTGGGCCGAGAGGTCTGTAAAAGTGTCACCCTTGAGGTGTGATTATCACAGTTCTGCTTTCATGAACCCTGCTAGCTTCACATGCTGACAATGTCCCTCATTGGCTGTCCTTTGCGTGTCTGCATTCTTTTCCACAGCTGAATATATGCACCTGACTAATCCCTTATTGCTATTTAAAAGTGATGACCTTTGCTCCACCTTCCTTTGCAAAACCGAACCCACTGTGCATGTATCAAGCCAGATTGCGAACACGTTTTCTTATCCCTCATGCTCTCTGTATTATATAAGGATAATCTGACAGGTGCCATCCTAAATAGTCTGGCTAAGTAGGCCTGTTCTGGCAAAACGATGACGTAACGCATCCCATTTTTGATCTTCAGATCCACTTCAACACGCGGTTTGTGGGGAAAACATTGATGACTACCTACCCTGGGACTGTGCTGATGATTTTCAGTGTTTCTTTGTGGATTGTGGCAGCGTGGGGCTTACATGTGTGTGAGAGGTATGTGAGTTAGTGCTTGAGGTCATCGGATGAGGTCAACTTTTTCAAAGAAATACCATAAATTATAGATGTTCGCCCAATAAATCGAGATTCTTGTAATGTGTTCTGCATTTCGATTGTTCAACATATTGTCGGCCATCTTTGTCAGTTATAATAAACAAAATTTGCTGATTCATGTTGGTTGCTGGCTGTCACTAGTCAAAAAGTATTCTGGGGAAAACTGCCAGAAAACACTTTCAGCTTGGATGGAAAATACCCAAAGTACCACATCCAAATATAAAGAGGTAGATGCTACTTCTTACTGTACTTATGGGTATGTGGTGGATTTTCAAAACTTGGCTGAAAATTACCAAGTGTACATTAATTATTTTAATGTAGAAAAAAATCATTTATAGACTTAATTGCATACAAAAGCTACAAGTGCAAATAATTTGACATTTTGATTTAGAGAAATTCGTTAACAATAAATCAGAACCGGAAGTATGTAACCTGAGCTGGGAAAAACCAAAAACAAAAGTGTTCTGAAAATAAAGTCTAGAACAAGGCAACTATCTGAAGTATGAATAAAACAGACTTACATGTAAGTTTTATAAGTCTTCAACCATCTTCAACACATCTTGCAGTGTTTTTCTAGCATGCATGGATTGGCCTTTTCTGGTTATGCTAACGACTAGCTAAATAGTTTGGCTAGCGCTAATTAGCTAAACTGCACTTTCAAAGCATGTATGTATGATTAAGAAATTCAAAAGCAATACAACTATTAAAACTGAGACAGGGCGTACAAGGTTATGAATTGTTGGTATGATCCACTTCAGATGGCAAGAAATATGAGTAATTAACTATAAACGTGAATACGGGTAACATGAAACAGACTTCACTTTTTTGCACTAAATGATTCATTGTTGGGTGATTTTGGCAGCACCTTGATGTAACTGACTCGGATTCATCTACAAATTAAAATGAAGCATTGTGTTCATTTAAAAAATGCATATATTCACAAAAAAAAATATGTTTTTATTGCAAGATTTCAATAGAACCAGAGTTCTGGTTTTTTAGAACTTTAGCTAAAACAGTTGAAGAGATTTAAAGAGACAAAGTGTAGTTTTTACTATTTATCTCTGGAATTATCTATTGAAATTTTGTTGAAAATGAATTAAATGATGCCCAGTTGCTGAAAAATATTGGCAGCTTCATAACATATAACCATAAAAATTAGGTCTAAAGATTTTACTTAAAAAAAATACTGCTTGCTTGCCCTATCGCCAGGGATCATCGCTATAATCAACAAACTGGGATGCAGTAAAACTTAGTTTTAAATCAGAAACTAAACACAATAAGTATGTTAAAAGTTGTTTTTTATAAAACTTTTTTAAACAATCTTGTGTTCCGAACATGCTGGATAACTTCTCCAGAGGCTGTTCTAGGGGGGTTTAAGGTGGGCCAGTGCCACCCTTGGAGCAAGCTTGGACCCCTCTGTGGCCTCCTTTTTGAGGTCAATTCCTAAACATTAATACATTTGGATATTTTTGTTATAATCTAACCTAAATCAAGATGTGAAATCAAAGCATGTGAATTAATTTATCTGAAATTTTAAATTAATTTGGAATCAAATACTGTTTCATGTTGTCACTGAGATAGATAATTAAGATACTAAAGTGCTTTTGCTAAATATTTGCATTTTGATACATTTTTAAAAATGTATAGTGCATCTAAAACAACTGTAACCAAACTGCTATATTACAGTTATTATATTGTTGTAATTACACAGTAAAATTGAAATACTCAATTCTGCAATGGCAAATCTACAGAACAAGCTAGCTTTTAAACACAAACACTCAAACCTCCCGTTGGCTATCACCACATCCACCGGAACCCACGTTGCATGAAGAAACGAAATAGAGCTAAACACCAGTCACCATTTTCTAGGTTCAAACGCCTTCCGTGACTTCAAATGATGTTTTTCTTTTGAGTAGTTTAGTAGTTTGTCCTAAAGTTGAAGTGGTAGCAGCCGGCTGTTTCTCCTTTTCTGATATTATTGAGTCGTGAATCTCACAACAGTGGTGTTCTGCTGCTAAATACATGTAATGAATAATGAATGAGTAATGAATAGAGGACCCAAGGAAGTGTGGTGGTTGTTTGATGAGACCAACAACTGGATAAGCCAATCGTTGCTTTCAGCCACTTTATTAGTGGAGGTTTTTAGAGAATCACTTTGTTAATTTTTTTTTGTATTTTTTATTTAAATCTTCACAATATATTTATAGCTATACTATGTTAGAAGCATTAAAAAATGTTTTAAGCTAACTCATTTGACAGATTTGCTATTGCAGCTTTAACGGCAATGCTTGTAATGTTTTCTCTCTAACAAAGCAGCTAGCCCCATCCTGTTTTGTTACTAAATCTTCCAAAATAAATCACTTTAGGCACCAACAGGTCTGAAAATAAAGTTTCATTCTACCTTATTTGGAGGTCTGAAAACAATGAAATGATTGGTATGAAACAAAAGTGGGAAGTTATACAAACAGGCTTCCTTAATGAAGCCACCAGATTTATTCAAGACCTTGCTTTGATGCTAATCCTGATGGATTGTAGGCAGAGGAAAGTGCTTCTTGCCTATCCATGTGGATGTATTGAGTAACTCTGTAAATAAAAGTCTGGTAGAAACTTTAAAAACTTGATGAATCATATTTACTAGTAAAAATGTGGTTTGAGTGCCAAACACTGAAATAATTGGAAGTGAAGCTGAGTTACCAATATGGGCTGAATTGGTATTTAAGCAAAAACAAAAATATGTCTGTGAAGGTTCTCAGTCATCCAGGTCATTTTCTTTCAAAGCTCCTTAGAAAATTCAAAAATAATATTTTCAAACAGAGAAGTGAGTTGATGTCATTTAGAGTCATAAAACTCCACCTGTAATTTTAAAAAATCTATTGTCTTCAATTTGTTCCACCAGACATCACAACTACAGAGACTTGAGTAGCAACTACATGGAGGCCTTGTGGATGGTCTCTGTCACCTTCCTGTCTATTGGCTACGGAGATGTGGTTCCTCACACCTACTGTGGTCGCAGCATCTGCCTCCTGACGGGGATAATGGTGAGATGAAAGACTTAATAGTTTTCTCTGCAACAAGTTCAGACCAAATGAAACTCTTAACGATTGTCTCTGACACCAACAGGGAGCTGGGTGCACGGTCCTTGTAGTGGCGGTGGTTGCCAGGAAGTTGGAGTTAACCAGGGCCGAGAAGCACGTTCACAATTTCATGATGGACTCCCACATCTCTAAAAGGGTGAATATTAAACACGATGAATGCATTTATTAAATGTTTATCTGAATTTCCTGCTAATGAGAGTCAGATAGTGTGGAAACTTGACCAGACTCTGATGGTCACACGTGTACATCTTTAGAATTGTACAATGAGTTTTAAAGGAGATATGACAAATTTGCACTGTACGTATAAGCATTACGTAATGTCTGCAAAGCATAGTACACCGCAATTAGCCGCCATTTTAGTGGCTGTAGTGGAGGCCTTGCCCATGAAGCATCACATTTTGGAAGAATCCCAGGAGAGTAGTCAATGGCGTCCCCAAGGGGTGGCCATGCCAGGGGTGGCCTACAAAATTACCACCTCCCAGGAAAAGCCGGCGTTAATAAATCATATTAATGTTCACTCAAACGATAAATTCATCTTATTTATTCAAGACATAAATATAAATTTTATTTATTTATATTTATTTATTCAAGACATAAATATAAAACACAATAAAAATTTGACAATTAATGCAAAAAGAAATAATCAGAATTTTAAAAATGCATGTTTCTGCTTCTCACCATTTAAAAAAGTATTTATTTCCATAATTTCTTGTGAACACAGTAACAGGTGAATTAAAGAAAACAAAACAAATAATACATTTTAAAAGAAATGTTGAAATAACATTTTAAATAACTGAAATGTATTTTTCTGAAATGTTTGTGTTTGTAAAATTTGAGTTAGGTGTTTCGGATATATACTGTTTTTTTTTTGTTTTTTTTTTTATAAAAACAAATAAAGGAGCAATGCAGTGAACTCTCCCATAGTTACCACAAGGACCAATTTGGTGTGCCACCCCAAAAATTTCTTTGGCCCCGTCTGGCCACCCTTATCAAATTTTTCTGGAGGCGGCCCTGGGCGTAGCTCAGCAGTTGTGTCAGGCCAGACAGGAAGTCAAACATGAAAGCAGTGAAAAACATCTGAAAACTTTTCAAATAAAATTCACTTGCAGATTTTCTGTTGCTTCAAAAATTAGGCCTACATCCTGTCAAACCTCTGTAGCAGGGGTAAACAGAACAGAAAATAAACCACCGACTTTTATGGATACACGCAGTCACCTTTTTCCTAGCTTGCTATCGCATGAACTGCCGAACTCGAGACTGACACAGAAAGAGAAATGTGTGACAGAGGGGTTGGGAGCGAAGACGGCCCAGTTAGGTAGTGCTGTCAAATTACAGCTTTTCACCGTCTAACTGCTTTTCTGGTTTAGACCTTAAAGTTTATCTGCCCTCTGGGGCCCCCTTGTGGCCTAGGGCCCCCAAGCAATTGCCTGAAGAAGAAGAAGAAGAAGAAGAAGTAGAAGAAGAAGAAGAAAAGATCATTTCTAAAGCGCCTCTCAAGATAAAAATCACGAGGTACTTCACAAAAACAAAAATGTAAAAATATAAAAAAGAATTTAGAAAATGATTAAAAATATATTTAAAATGGGCAAAAAATAGACAATTGTGATTAAAAATGTAAAGAAAGAGAGAGAGAGTGAATAGGAAAGAGGGAAATCAGTGGATCCTGGAAGGTGGAATAGATAGGGAGAGCAGAACAAGGAGAGGGTGATGAAGGTCACACAAAAGCCAGCCTGAACAGGTGAGTTTTCAGCTGCTTTTTAAAGGAGACCACTGAGTCCACTGATCTCAGGCTCAGGGGGAGAGAGGTCCAGAGTCTGGGGGCCACAGCAGCAAATGATCTGTCACCTTTGGTCTTTAGTCTGTTGGCAAGCAGCGCCTCTGGCATTAACCTCACTCTGTGGGGATTTGAGAGAAAAGACTGATTTCCATAACTGAGAAAGAAAATAAAACTCTTGTCAAGTCTGATTTTCTGTGACTCTTTTGTACTTTAGATGATCTGTTTGCTGTGAAATCTACCTGAGCTCAAAACAGGTGGTGTGTTTCTCACCTGTGCCAACAAAATTGGGGCATTTTTTGCTGTTTTTTGCTAAGTTTGTCTGCACTGTACAACACTGCTACCACATGGCACAGTACACTGTTCCTGATCAAACCGTGCATTTTGCTGTGTAATTAGTATTCATGTTTTGTTTGTTTTTTAAAGCATTTTAGTGTAAAAATAAACCAAAACAAGACATTATATTGCTTGAATTCTGACACCCTTAATAAAAAATGATGACATTTTTACTGAAAGTTTGACTCGGCGTGAAGACTTTTCTAAATTTGTTGGTTATAAGTCAGAGTGATTTGTATTTGCATGCATTCCATTTTGTTGGTTTTAGCATACCCTGTGCAAACAGCTCTTTGGGGTTATGTGCATAAACCTGCAATAACTCTTGGTGATTTTCTGCATCCTTTCAACAGATAAAAATTGCTGCTGCAAATGTGCTGAGAGAGACTTGGCTCATATACAAGCACACCAAGCTGTCAAGAGAAAGAGACCACACCAGAGTCCGCATGCACCAGAGGAAGCTGCTTCTGGCCATTCACCAGTAAGACGTGACCCTGCTTTTAGATCGTGCAGTTTTTATTATTATTGCAGAAGACAGTGAGTCATTCTGCTCAATGAAATTAGAATTATTACAAATAAAACTCACAAAATAACCAAAATCTTAAAAATGTGATGTGAGAAGTTTGTATCCATGGAGACTGTTTACCTTCTCACTTTAGGAGAAATGTACCATGAGACTATGACAGATTAATAATTTTAAAACATGTGTAATGTTACTAAACTAACGTTATATTGATGTTTTATTTTATTATGTAACAAAATAGAAATGGATTGATAAATTGCCCCATGCCTCCTGTACATGCGCCACTAGAGGGCAGTAGACACATCTAAGGCCTGGATATGACATCTAATCTAATCTAAAATTTCTACCTGGAAGATTTAACTCTAGAAATTGTTTGTTGCTAATTTAGGGGCCACATTCAATAAAATGAGATTCTTTCTGCAACCAGATTTTGTAAAATAACTGCTTATATTGTTTTGTTTATCACTTATTCTGTTTTCAGGCTGCGAAGAGTGAAGATGGAGAAGAGGATACTTGCAGATCAAAGCAACACACTTGTAGACCTAGGCAAGGTGAAGGCATAATTTTGTTTTTAAATGCTGAAACTCGGCATCACACCACCAAACACCTCAATGTTTTATTCAACACAGATGCAGAACTTGATGTACGACGTGCTGACGGAGGTGCAGGGCTGCAGGGGGGAGTTGGACACGCACATCCACAGCCTGGAGAAGCACGTGGAAGAGCTGAGGGAGGGCTTCAGGAGTCTGATGCCTCTCCTCTCCAGCACCTTGTCCACACAGAACTCCTCCATCCGCCACCTCCTCAGGGAGAGGGAGGTGAAGACGGAGTGTGCCAGTGCGAGCGGAGCAGACAGATAGGTGCTCAGGAAGGAGTTTCCTACTTGTGCTCACAATCAAGATGGGACAGTTTATTTTTATTAAGGCCATGTAAACATTTCTGTAAAACTGTAATTAAACAGGTAAACCCGTTTTCTGTAGCAGAAACTGTAGAACAATAGTTCCAATGCTCTTAAGGCTTCTCTCCTGCAAGAAAATTACTTTTAACAGCTGAAATCACAATTTGATGACATATTAAGGAGTAATTAGCATAAATTGGTTTGAATTAAAACATCTGAGGAAACCTCTAATCTGAAGAGTAGCTTTGTTTGCAGTGTGTTTAACAGAGGAGCTTTAAATGTAAACACTGAACCTGTGACAAATATGTAAAGTTTGTGTAAAAAAAAAAGAAAGAAAATGCAACACTCTGTAAAGACTGCTGCCTTGTTATTTAACGTGTGATAGCAAAATGCTTTAATAAATCAATAAAAAGACAGGAAACCATTTCTTTAACCAAAACATTTTATTTAGAGAGACGGGGTTGGAGGGTGGAGTTACAGCAACAACCAGTCTAACATGAACAGTTCATGTCCAGTTGAGTCAACCGGTCTCGTTTCAAATCTGACCGCAGGCTCTGCCGTCGTCTCAAAGGCAGGAGACGCTGATATCAACCGGTCCATTCCCCTCTCCCCCTTCAGCTTCTAGGACAACAACTAGTGCTGCTTCCTCCTGAATGAGCACCCTGCCAGAGAAAACAATCACAGTCAGCTGCTGACAAGAGAAACATCAGTGTACAGGGAAACTGCTGAGTGAGCACACGACTATTGTGTAACAGGTGAGACAAGCGTTTCATTTTAGCGTAGCAGAGAAATCAAACTACGCAGCACGACTAACACATATGTTCTCAGCATTCGAAAGGGGGGAGCCAGTGATCTAGCTCAACCCTTCTGCAAACTGAGGTTGATCTGGCACCGGAATGAGATTGGAAGACCACGAGACAGGAAATCCAGTCACTAAGCGGTGCTGCCAGATAGATCAGAACGTGGCAAGTATTACATCCCATCAACCCTTAAAACGTCATCGCCTGCTACCTGATTCATTACCTTCCAACGAAAACATTAAATCAGGTTTAAAGAGGAACTCTGCACAAACATGGCTCCGCACCCCGGATGCAGACGGAATACTGACCCTCTGTGAGACGTGCTTTGCCGCCAGTGGGCTGACACAGGACTGTGGAGCAGCCAACGCACAGCACCACTGTCTGAGCGTGGCTGAACACCGTCGTGATCTTGTAGCATCCTGCAAACCAACACAACTGTCAGCAACTGGATGAAATTCATCTGCTTTTTTGAAAAAATAAAAAAACACTCAAATTAACTGTACCTGGACATTTCACATCCATGAAGTAGGAGTTGGGACTCTGGACGAGACGTTTCTTCTTGTGCCTCCTCTTTTCCTCCTCGGGAGATGGGTGCAACAAGTCTTTCGCGAGCTGCGGTACAAAAAAATATGTGATCGTCATCAGAAAATGTAGCGAACCTGTCAATAAACACATCGTAACAAACATAAACAACCGTGTAATTCTGCGTGGTCTTTAAGCACTAAAACGGGATATTTACGTGTTTAACTCGGCTTCAGATGCTGCGTCGGCCCGCTCAGGCTCGTAGGTTGGCCTACGTTTCATAACGTAAATAACACGTCTCGGTCGATCGTTCGAAACACATTTTCAAGCAATTACGACTTTTAGCAAAAAACGCAAACCTCCAAATAAGACATTACGACTTTTATTGTTTCATAAGGAAGCATTTAGCTTCTCCGCTAAACTGGCTCCATGTTTGCGGTGTGCGCGCAGCCATCTTGTTACCACACGCTCGCTTCGCTACTTGTAATTGTTTAAAAACGCTATTTATCTCCCACAAATCTAGCTAATAGCAGTACCAGTAGATTTGCAAAAGCGTTCTGAACGTGTTGAGGTCATTAAAAATCCTCCAACACGCCGTTAGATAGCTGAATTTTTACATTCCGCCCGTCTGCGAATACTCACTGGCATGTTGGCGAGGAAATAGCCGCTGCCGAAAAGGAGGCATCACCGGAAGCAAAGGGTTGATATCGGCGATGGCTCGGAGCAAAAAGCGGAAGTGACGACAAATTAGCGGCGGACATATTGGTCAGGTCTAAACATCAACCCATTGTGTGGTTCATGTTTATACACTGCTGGGCCAAAAAAAGTCGCGACCTTGATTTAACTAAGCACATAGGTACAAGCCTCCTACTGGATCATTTCTGGCGATTCTACTCGATCGCTTGGAACGATGGGTTGGGATCAAGGGGTCTGCTCTGGATTGGTTTAGATCGTATCTCCACAACAGGACATTCTGCGTTAAACTGGGTGATGTTTTTTCTTCTTGGGAGGGGCTCCGCTGGGGGGTCCCGCAGGGATCGATCATTGGTCCTCTTTTGTTTGCCATTTATCTGCTACCTCTGGGGTCAATCTTTTGTAAACATGGCCTATCATTCCATCTGTATGCTGACGATTGCCAGATTTACTCTCCATTGTGTCAGGAGAAAGGTCACTCTATCCAGTCCTTTGTGTCCTGCATTAACGAGGTGAAGTCTTGTCTAATGGCCAACGTTCTGCATCTGAATGAGGGAAAGACAGAGCTCATTGTTTTTCACCCCAACAGCAGGGCTGTGGGTCGTTATGTTGATCTTGGCCTTCTTTCTCCCTTCTCAAAACCAGTTGTTACCAGTTTGGGTCGAAACTTGATGCTGGACTTAAATTTGATGCTCACATCAACTAAGTGATCCGGTCCAGTTTCTTTCACCTGAGACGCCTTGCAAAAATCAAGCCTATGCTGCCGAGAGCCCACCTGGAGCGGGTACTGCATGCATTTGTAATTTCTAGGCTTGATTACTGCAACTCTCTTTATTCAGGGTTGTGTCAGTCATCACTGCGTCGCCTACAGGTTGTGCAGAACAGCGTAGCAAGGTTCCTGACTGGGACCAGGAAACGGGACCATATCAGTCCGGTTCTGGCCTCCTTGCACTGTCTTCCGGTTTGCTATCGAGCACAATTCAAAATCCTCGTCTTTGTTTACAATTTCTTCCAGGGTGCTGGTCCTCCCTATCTGGCCACACTCCTGAACAAACATTCCCCATCGCGCGCTCTGCCCTCCTCTGACCAAGGCCTGCTCGCTGTCCCTCGTTCTAGGTGTCGTACTCGCGGGGACTGGGCTTTCTCAGTCCTAGCACCGTCTCTCTGGAACCAGTTGCCACCCTCAGTTAGGCTGTCCCCATCTCTGCCAGTCATTTAAGAGTCGCCTAAAAACCCACCTCCTCCGCTTGGCGTTTCCTGAACATGTTTGATTCGGCCCTCTTTTAAGTTTAATTTATTTCACAGTTTTCATTGGTTCACTCTATCCCTTGTTTTACCCGTCTGTCCTGTACTAGAATGTTTCACCTTTTTTTTGTAATTTGTATTTTGTAATTTGAATTGCTTTTATTTTTGAATTTATTTTTGATTTATTCACTATATTTGTACTTCTACTGTACCATGTTCAGTGCCTTGGGCTTCCTGACAGGGTTGCGGAAGGCGCTTTATAAATAAAGCTTTGATTGATTGATTTCAGCTGGCAACAAGTTATTAACTTAGGCTGACCAGATTTCCATTTCCAGAAAAGAGGACAGGGGACCGATGACGTCAAATAATTAGTTCTAAAGGTTTTGGAACCTGACGACAGGGCCCAAATTTATGCACCTCCCTAATATTGTTCAAACAATATTGCACTTTCTGTATATCCTATAAACTTCATTTCACTTCACAAATATCACTGTGTGTGTCTCCTATGATGTATTTATCATAACTACCAGAGGTGTGGGCTCGTGTCACATGACTTGGACTCGAGTCATTTTAATGACTTCTGACTTGACTTGATAAAATCTATAAAGACTTACGACTTGACTCAGACTTTAACGCCAATGACTTGCAACTTGAATCGACTTGCATCTGTTGACTTGCTGACTTGAGCATATTTGATATTTTAGCACAAAAGTGGTATGACATGGACAAAAATCATTCTGGGTTTGATCTTGTACTGCTAAATGCAGCAGCACTTTGTTTAGAATTAATTTCAGTTGCACTTTCTGCTTTTTTGAGCAAATAAAATAAGCTTTAAAAAGATTTATTTCTGGAATTTCTTATCATTGTCATTAAATTGAAGTTTGACAGATGTTTCATGTTAATTTGCTGACATTTAGGAGCTAGATAAAAAAATGAACCATCGTCATAATGCAGAAGTTACCTTGCTTAGCTGCTAATCATGCTCGAAGCACAGGTGGGTCATTCACTAATAACAATATAAAGATGATATATTGCAGGATTCTGCATTAATGTAATACAATATGAATAATTAAATTAGGAGACCAAGTCGAAATCAACCAAAAACTAAATTATGTAGGACACAACAAAGGTGAATATGTCAACTAGAATAGCACATTAAAAATTAAGCCGTGGTTTTTTATGCTGTACATTGTTTCAGTGTGCTTTGAGCCATCAAGTGTACAATGTTACCTAGTGGTCTAGGAAATGTAAGGAAAAACCTGTGAGAAGCTCTAGTTTCACTTTTAAAGAAGAGGGAAAGAACTGATTCTGCAGTTCATAAGTATTTGTGCAGATCTAACTGAATAATTATCAGTACTTGTGTTAATTCCGTCATATTTGTGTCCTTCTTTTGGCTCAGATTGAACTTGTTTGCTACAGTTTTTTTTGTGTGTGACTTTAGTGTCAATTAGTTTTTAGTTTTGTGTGCTCTGAGCAGATAAGACGGTGCAGGTTATCAGCTACAAGTTACAAGATAAAATCCAAAACAGAAATCTTCTGCCTACAGGTCAGTTAAGAGAAAGATGGTCTTCTAATATCAATCCAAGCTAAAATAACAACAGGCGTCAGGTTGCAGTTACAAACATTGACTGGAGACTTTGTGAGACTGCTTTACAATTTATTTTTATTAAAATTCACCATTTGAATTCATCATTTGTACAATTAAAAAGAAAGAAAACTCATTTCAGTTGAGACATGTCAAGATACACTAAAGAAGCACTGTTTCATAAGGATTTGTCTTATATGAAATTACATTTTTTATATCTAGGGTTGGGCATCGAGCATCGATTGGAACCGGTTCAGACTGTTCATTTTTCCCGGAATCGTTCAGTTTTTTATTTCGATTCTAGAATGCCGACCGGAATAGGAATCTGCGGCTAATCTCCGTGAAAAATAAACATTATCTGCAAATTGTGATCAACGCTTTTCAGAGCTGATCACACCAGCTGTCAGTGTGCAGCACCGAATCCCCCCTCCCCCAACCCAAATATAAACAAACGCGTCTGCCGAACTTTTACTCGGTAATGTAAACTTTAACTCCAGTAGAGGAAACTTGTTAAAATTCATCAACACGGTGGATTTAATAGAAGCTTTAAAGAACAAACAGGACAGTGTGAGGTGAGTTTGTCTCACTGCAGAAATAACAACACACAGAGCGCCAGCAGTCAGACGCAGCCGCTCACCAACACTCGTGTGTGTGTGTGTGTGTGTGTGTGTGTGCATGTGTGTGAGAGCATCAGAAGGCTGAACAATAACCTGTAGAATAATTAAAGTCATCATGCTAGAGCAGCTTCTCTGTGGTGAACCACACCATCTTCTGCCACAATAATTAATTGTAATAATAATAATAATAAATCACACACAAAGTTGGTTGTGAATATTTTAATTTCCTTTCTGAACTATTTCTGTTGAGAGTTTTAATGTTTAAAATCTGTTAGATTGTTACTGACAGCAGCTGCATTTAAGTTTCACTTTCTGTTCTGACTGAATGGCTGCTGCAGGTAGGAAAACAGCTGGACGTTTCTGGATGTGTTGGAGACATTTAGCCTCTCATCCCAGAGGTTTCTTCCAGACTTTGATTGTGGTCAGAAACAAACACACTGGCTGTGCTGCAAGTCTTTTTTTTCCCTCCAAAACATGTTTATGTCTAAATGAATGTGATGTTATTGTTCATAGAATTAAAATTCATGTGGAAGTTAAGATTATTTCATCAAGTAGGACCTGAGGTTAGCTGGCTCATGTAAAACATGTCATGTCTTAAAAGAATCGGAATCGGGAATCGATAGGAACAGGAATCGGAACAGGAATCGAAACAAGGAACTGGAATCGGAATCGTTCTAAATAAAACGATGCCCAACCCTATATATGACTGAACAAAAACCAAAAAAATCATAGGGTACATTCCTATAAGGGACTTTACTAAACACTATTTGTTTATTCATAAGTTTCTACAACTGTTAAACAGTTTCCTCCATCTAGGACCTAATCAGAGTCAGAGTCATCCTTGGCATCTTCCCTCCCTTTCAGTCCCCAAAATCTAGCAATGTGCTCCAGTCGCATGGAGCCTCTGAAGATCCACTCCCTTCGATGATTTTCCTGAGAAACATGACAGAAAAACGTTAACATAAAAAAAGCAGTGTGAAAGTATAACACCATGATGTCTTTCTTAGGATTAATATCAGTCTAAAGGCACTCTTGGCAGTTTTGCTTACTTTTGGCACCCCCTAGTGTCCGTTACTCATTCTCTGTGGTTAAACAGAAAATTTAATATATCTCCTCAGTGTGCGTTTGTCCTTTTAACACCTTAATCTAACAGCTGAAATGTCTCCTCAGCCTTCATTAGTGTCTACAGGAGTGACTCATCACTAAATTAAACAAATCAGCTGGTATATCAGCTAAATGTTTTCTAAGTCAACAGGTGGTGGCCCGCCACTCTTAAGTTGCAAGTGTGATATTCTGGCCATGGGGGAACAGAAGGGTTCTGAGAGGCATTTCATTAAGCATGTAAAGGGTAATTTTAGAACATACTGGCTCACGAAAATGAATTTAAAAATGGAAAAGTTGCACAGTATCCCTTTAAATACAAGATAAATGTGAGGAATTCAGTTCATAAAAACTGCTCCACTCATAATTCACTGACAATGCAGCTAAAATGCTTTATGCAATAATGATATAAACATATTTATTTTAAAATTCAATAAATATAAACTATTTTTGAAATATGCCGTTTTGGCCCATTCCAAAATGTATTTTGCTTAAATAATCAACAGACCTCTTCTCTTTAGGTTTACCATGTGAACTTCAGTACGTTGCACATAAAAAACTTTAAAACCTTCACTTTTCTTTACTTGTGCAAAGAGAAAGATATACCAACCTGAAAAACGACTTGTATTAAACTGCAGTCGACTGCCTGTACCTCACACATCTGCTGGACTCCATTTAACTCCACATTGAAAGTTTGGCCAATCCTGTATTTGTTTAAACGAGGGTACAGCCAATCGTCCTTTAGGTACAGTCTCATAAAACCCTTGTGAGGGCCATCAGGAACATCGTCTAAAACATCCTCCACTGTTGAGAAAAGAACAAATAATAAATAAAAGTCATCTGAAATGCACGTATGGAAGTTAGTGAAGAGGATGATGAACAGTTCACGCCAAAGCCAGCTTGAACAGGTGAGTTTTCAGCTGCTTTTTAAAGGAGACCACTGAGTCCACTGATCTCAGGCTCAGGGGGAGAGAGTTCCAGAGTCTGGGGGCCACAGCAGCAGATGATCTGTCACCTTTGGTCTTTAGCCTGGTGCGCTGCACAACCAGTAGGCTTTTGGGCCATTCCCATCTGTACCGGGTCGGCCCAGGCCGGGTAGCCCCAGTCGGCCCCAGCCTGGCCCGGTTGATTCCACACATCCTTGCTTAGGTATGCAAGGAATGCAGTCAGAGACACTTTCAGCTTCTGGGTAATAAGCATGATAATGAATGATAATGAATTGAGCATGCCTTAAGCCCATGTGGGCTGATTCTTCCCACCAATCAGAGGCTTGCTCTAATGGAAGGAGTGAATTTGCTGTCAGCAGTGGGTGTGTTGGCCCTGGTCGGCCTGAAGCAGACCCCCTCGAGAAGAGGGCTGAGAATGAGCCTTGGTTGGCCCGGGAAAATTCCAGGCCACCCAGATATGTAAACAACCTACGCTACCCGGCCCGGTACAGATGGGAATGGGGCTTTTGATCACTGGACCTCAGGGACCTGCTGTATGTGTAGGGACTGAGAAGACCACCAATGTATGATGGTGCTTCTGTTGCCACTTACACCCTAGCATCGGCTTCATTCCGCCCCGCCTGCCCAAGCCTGGCCGCGTTCGTTCCACACTGCCTTAGGAATGCGGACGTGATTGAGCACATGTGATGTCATGGGTGCATCTCCGAGCACGTGGGTGGGTGGGGCAAAAGAGTGCAGAGAAGTCTGCGGGGTCTCCACTATTAAACAAAATCGGCCTGAGCAGTCTTGCTTTTGGAGAATCTGATGTTGCATTCTGCTTTGCTGTGTCTGGCAGCACTGTGTGTGTGTGTGCTCCTCACAGCAGTGAGAGAGAAAAACAGCTTCAGTCAGAGGCTGATTTCACACAAAACCTAAAGTAACTGTTGCTCCCTATACATGTGGGGTCCCTCCTCAAAGACTTAACCTCGGATCCGTCATATGATGATGATGAAGATGAAGAAGAGCTTTACTATAGCGCCTCTCAAGATAAAAATCACGAGGAGCTTCACAAAAACAAAAAATGTAAATTATAAAACTGAATTTTGAAAATGATTAAAAATATATTTAAAATGAGCAAAAAATAGACGATTGTGATTAAAAATGTAAAGAAAGGGAGAACAGGAAAGAGGGAGATCAGTGGATGCTGAGGAAGGTGGAATAGGTGGGGAGAGCAGAAGTAGCTGAAGTAAAACATGTGCACGGTATGGAATATGTATCTTATTAAAATATTAAAAACCAACAAAGATTATTTTCAACAATACATTTAATACAATATTGGCCAATATCTGACATCTGTAGTCAAAATCGTTTCAACTGTGAAGGGCTCCAGACCGTATTTGGTCTGAATGTGGGAGGAAACTTACATGGCCTGCACACCAGGTGAAATAAAGGCAATCCAACATACACTGGAGTGTGATCATCCAGGAACACCAAGAATCTGGAAAATGAAAATGAGTTAGCTAAACCAAACCACAGAAGAGCAACTGAACTTTCAGCACGACATTCAGAAGCATTACTTTTTATATTTATAACGGCAACAACTTTGCTGGTTCATTGCTTGGAGAATATTCATTTGAAGGCTCACCGGAACTGGTTTCTCCTGCTGGGCAGCTCGGACAAAACACCGGGTCGGAATCGGAACTTGTTATTTTGACAGCGTACCACCACGCGAGTGCCGATGAACAGCTGCTCAACCTTCGGTCTGGTGTCGTAGGCAATGTGGTGTCCAGAAACAAGACACGTGCCTTTATCTTCAAATCTAACTTTGTATTTTAACCGCCCATCATCTGCAAGGCACAAAATGTCAGAGCTCATAACAACATCACAATATTAGGTATGTTTCCACTGTCCAGACTTCGGGGTAAATTTACAGGAACTTCATGGAATGTGCATGTCTCCACTTGACAGGGCCGGACGGTTTTCCAGGCCTTTATCAGGAACCTTCGGAGTACCTGATCGGGGTAGGTACTCTGAAAGGTCCGGTGGAGTAGCTGTGCAGAACTTTTGGTTAACTCACACTGATTGGTTGTAACGCAGTAGGAAATGACCTCAGCAGGCGCAGTCCAAGCCAACCGGCATTAGTAAAACTAGAAGAGCTGCTTGTGAAGCAGAATGGAAGCTAAAGAAAATAAGCATCGATCGTGGTGCATTTAAACTGTCGTTACTAAACTCCAGAGGTGTGGACTCGAGTCACATGTCATTATTTTAATGACTTCTGACTTGACAAAATCTATAAAGACTTATGACTTGACTCGGACTTGAACACCAATGACTTGCGACTTGCATCTGTTGACTTGAGCGTATTTGATATTTTAGCACAAAAGTGGAACGACATGGACAAAAATCATGAATCATTCTTCGTTCTGGGTTTGATTTACTGCTAAATGCAGCAGCACTTTGTTTATAATCAGTTTCGGTTGAATTTTCTGCTTGTTTGAGCAAATAAATTAAGCTTTATGAAGCTTTATTTACGGAATTTATTTATTATCACTGTCATTAAATTTAAGTTGGACAGATGACTTGATTGTGACTTGAAAATTCAAAGTTAAAGACTTGGACTTCCACATCATTGACTTTGTATTGTCTTTGACTTGGACTTGACTCGAGACTTGACTGGAAAGACTTGTGACTTACTTGTGACTTGAAAAGCAGTTACTTGGTCACACCGCTGCTAAACTCCCAACATTGGGAAACACGGTGGAATTCCTCCACGACTTAATTCATGGGGATTTGTTGTCTCACAGAGCGCCATAAAAAAAACGGAGCATTTTCTGATCATTGAACGCCACATTTTAAATCCCGCAGCTGTTCTTGTGGTCTGAATGTAATCAGTTATGCTGAACTTTGACAGAATAAAACTTTTAATGTTAGTGATGTTACTGTGGACGCTTTCTGGCACTGATCAGTGACATACTTCTTAGGGATGCACCGATGGATCGGCATTTGATCCCAATCGGCCGATAGCGCCCCTATCGGTTTTGATCTGAGTTTTCAAAATAGATCAAAGCAGACCGAGACCATTTTAGATTAGGCTACATTTCCTTTATTCCCAGATTATGGTTTGTAGCACTCATTATAATGTTGTAGAAAATTTCTGACCAATCCACGTGATCGGTATCGGTGATCAGCATTCTTTGATATCGGTATCGGTGATCGGCAGCAAAAAACCTGATCGGTGCATCCCTTATACTTCCCTGCCAAAGCCATCGCGATATGCTGACGTCTGTGCAAAATCCTGAAAGGGCGATGTCCCGCTCCAATTTCCCCCTTCCAGAATTTACTCTGAAGCTCCGACAATGGAAACACGCCTCACACTGATTAACCTCTTTGTTTGCAGTACATTAAGCAGTTTCGTTTCATCTACCTTTTGTAATAATGTCTTCAATTTTTCCCTTCTGCCACCTCATCGGTCTTCTCCTGGCAATGACCATCATGTCCACTTTGATTTCTTCTTCAGGCAAATTCGGCTGATTATTTTCACGAGAGCAATGGGCGTAAGCTGTTGGCACACAGACGTTATTTCTTGCACAGAAAAAGTAAAAACAAATTCATACCATTTTCGTTTGCCCCCTTACTGTTATTGTCGTTACTCGTTGAAGGTCCCGCTGTTGCATCGCTCTTCATGGATTTGGAATACTTGTCTTTATTGTTCAAGACTGAAAAATCCGAATCGCTGGAATCCTCCTCCGACTCCCACGGCATATCTGAATCCGAGCTGCTGAGAGTTTCGTCTTCGCTGTAGAACTGAGGAGGGGTCAGTGGCCGCAGAGCGTTGATCTTATATTCAGGCAATTTAGTTAAAACGACCACCGCTTCCTTTAATAGATTTTGATCTTTTATTAAATCGTCATTCATTAGAAAACAGTTGTTTTCCCACTTTGGCATCTTGCTGGGGGTTCCATGTGTGGAGGGAACAGAGTCGCACGAGGATTCAGACATATTTTCTGCAATAAAAAAGTATTCTCAAAACTCTGACTAGTAAGAAATACAACTTCAAATGAAATGAACGCAACAACTGAATCAGTTTGGTTGATTGTGAACCGCTTTTAAATATTTCTATACCAGTTTTCTTCATATTGTTTTCATAATAACATAAACTTGTTCATACCATCATCATCTTTTTCTTCATCTGGTTCAGTTTTTCTCTTTTTTTCTATCTTCAATGTCGACTTCTGAAGCTCCATCGTTCTGGTCTCCAAATCCTCCATAATCGCTGCAAACACACAACTTTAAAAAAACAGCAAATGATGGAAAAATGTGTAAATTATCTGTTTATATGCCTATGTGTGTGTGTGTCTCGGACTGCACTTCAACACACTCATACATATTTCTGCTTCTGAGCACTTGTGTGTTATGGCTGCAGTTTTTAAATATGGCGGTGCTATAAGATTCTGAGCTTTATGTGCAAATTTTATCATTTTTACATCAGTTGAATAATAAGAGAGAAATTGACAAATTATGTAAGACAAAACATTAAGTTTCAAACAATTTAAATCTCATTCCCTTGCTTGTATTGTGTGGTGTCAGTCAGCAACAAAATAGTTATTTTGGTCACCCTAAAATGTCTTGTTTGTACTTGAAAGTGACACATTAAGGAGTGTTAAGATTCAAACCAACATCTGAAATTAGGGATGCAACGATACCACTTTTTTCCAAACCGATACGATACTTGGATCTGAATACTCGCCGATACCGATACCTATACTTCTACCACACAAAAAAATGCAATCATTTGAAATACAGATGTTATTTTCTTCTCTGCTTTCAACAGGAAAAGACTGTGAGGTAGATAAAAAGTAAAATATATGAATAGAAATCATCACAAAACTAAAATATTAGGTGAACAAAAATGACAAGTTACAGTGAAGCCATTTTCAAGCAACTGCATTGGTATTGGTTCCTGGTATCGGTCAACTTTTACCGATACCAGTATCGGTACTGGTGCATCCCTATCTGAAATGGGTACCTATTCTTGCTCTAAAGTCAAATCAAAATATGTAGGAGAAACACTAAATATGTGCCTTGTTTCTGTGTAATTTTTATTTATTTATTACTTTGTATTTCACCAAATACTTTAATTCCATGATCTCCACGTCACAGCCGGGCCTTAAGCAGCTAAAACAGATAACAGGAGAGCCCACCACCATCATATAACCAAGTTTCAGCATGAAATCACCAGGAAATACAGGGGAGACCCCTCCCAGATGTGAGTGTGTTGGTTTGTGAATTATTATTAGTCTTGCACCACAGCAAGGATGTAATTTTTGTTTTCAAAATTGTGTGTGTGTGTGGGGGGGTGGAGGGGTGGGGGCTAATGATTCAAATTACACACTTGTTAACAAAATTAAATGCTTAATGTCAGTAAAATTAGCTAGAAATCATGACTAGACCAATCAATCAATCAATCAAACTTTATTTCAGACAAGGGATATGTCCATAACAAGAATAAAAAAAATAAAAAAATAAATAAAAAAAATAAAATACAAACACATTCTAATTACAAACCGTATAGGCAGTTGCTCCAATGTTTAAAAAGGACTGAGGAGTACCTCGTGTCACTGTAAGATATCATATTAACTTAAAAAAATAGGGGGGGGGGGCTCTCTCCTAAATAAAAAGAAATACGTCCATGCAGCAGAGATTAACTGTTTTGTTGTTTGAGTTTACAAAAAAAGTTTTCTTTAAATTAAAGCCCAAAGCGAGCGTCTCTGTGACGTCTACCGCAATGTCTGCTGTTGAGGTGACCAAAATAACCCAAACCCGTGTCTTAATCTGGACCCCAGACCAGGTTAGATCTTTGACATTCGAGCATACGCAGTTAGAATGTCAATTCCAGGCAGCTAAACTGATTATCTTTGGGATGTAGCTTAAATGTGATAGCTGTAAACACGCCTAGCACGAGCTCGTGAGTGGTTAACTAGCGGTGCTTTAGATTTAGCTCAATTGCGAAAAAAATAAAAACAAACGTAGTGCCGTTTTTAGATTCAAAGAGTATTTAAAGTGTAATACTCAAACAAAAGACAAAACTCACGTGTTCTAAAGCAAATCCCTCCCTTTGAAATGTCGAAATTTCTAAGATAGGCGCTTAAGCTAGCTAAAAGAAGATCGTGGCACTAGCATTAACGCAGTTGCTGAACATTTAAAATAAAGCTAGCTAAAAGAAGATCGTGCCACTAGCATTAATGCTATTGTTGAACATTTAAAATCGACCGAAACGGCGAAATATTAAACGCTTCTGTTGGTTCTAAACCACACAAAAACAAAAAGCGCTACCTTAATCTCTCCTCCTGTTGTTGTTTCTGATCATCTCCTTCCTGTTCCTGATGCTTTATGGCAACCAAAAGACCAATGGGTTTGTGCAACACTGCCGCTAACTGGTGGGTAAAGCTAAAATCATGGTTGATTATTTAGCCAGTCAACAAATGAGGAATAAAAAGGTCAATCTGCGTTATTTTGGGTGGCTTTTATTATATTATGAAAGGTTTGTAAAAAAAATAAAAATAAAAAAAAAACAAGTAATGAATGCTGCATTCTGTGACTGAAAGCGCAAGGGGCAGGAGAACAGTGTCCTCCCTACCTCTTACTCCATCTCAGAAATTTACAATACAAGGAAGAGAAAATTAAAATTAAGTCAAACATTTTTAAGACTCTTTCAATGACGTGCAAGATTTGACATTATAGACTACAATATCTCTCTCTGGTTTCTCTTTTGAAAATTGTATCGATTTATTCAAGTTTAGCTCATGCTTGAATAAAATACAGGGTCTGACATTTGCTCCACCGAATGATCTAAGGGTTAAACATATGAGTAAATTAACGAAATAATTTAATGTATCAGAAGCTTCAATGTTCAATTGAATCAATTTGAACCAAAACTTTATAAGTTCTAACCTTGGAAATGAAACTAAAAGCCTTTGTACATTCTAAAACATTGAAATCAGACAAAGAAAGATAAAATGCAGGTTTAATTATTGAATTTTGTTTTGTTTTTAAATTAAGGACACTTAATGAGACGTCCAGTGGCCTTCATTCTTATTTTACTCTTTTTGGACTTAAAATATCAATCTCTTCTGTTCTTGATTTAATGGTTTCTGTTTTTAAATATCTCTTTGACACGTGTGTTAACATTAAGAAAATCTTTGCTTTGGAAGCAGTGTAAAATATATCAATATAAAAGCATAAATAAATAAGGAACTTAATTTGTACAGATTAGACTATAAAACTGCACTAATATTCTGGGTTCAGCTTCTTTTGTCTTATCCGAAATGCGTTTAAGGTTATGCAAAGGAATCAAAAGGATAACATATCTATAAACATCCAATATAGTTTAGTACAAATGCAACATTCATACACCAGCGAGTGTTTTTAAAAATTCCTGCAAAGTCCTGTGGATGAGAGATGAGACGGCCTTCATTTCCGCCTCAGGTGATCTGCTCCTCCTGGTAGGTCGAGGTGGAGATCGAGCCATAAGGATCCACTACTGTCTGAGCACAACGCACGACTGTGGCCAGAAGGAAGAAACACAGCAGGAAGAGGAAGAAGAGGGCAAAACCGAGGTCCACGTCCACCTCAAAGGGAGGCGCAGGGTTGGATGGCTGGTCCATGAGGACAACGGTGACAGCGGATCCTTGAGTAAAGGTTTCTTCTCTTTGTTCACTTCAGGAATGTGTGTGGCTTCATGTGCAGCTGAGATGTTGGGGATGACCTGCTGTAAGAGATGTAAATGAGAAAGGATGACAATAGTTTAGAAATGGCTTTCTTAAATGTAAAATTGTCCTTTTTTAATACAATTAATTCACAATTGATTGTTAATTTAAACTGAATTAGTCAGAAAATGCTACAAAAATCTTCAAATCTACATAAACAGTTAGAGAGGATAAAAGAGAATAAAAATATAGGAAAAACGTGTTTCACTTAATTTTTTATTTTTTTACAAAATTGAATTACGGTATTTGTAAATTATTTATTATGTAAACTCTTGAAAATAGCACAAAAACAATATTTCCAATGCTGAAAACACAGAAATTGTACTTTGGACTTATTATGCATCATGTTTCAAAAGAATAGAGAAATGTTTAAACTTAAAATACAAACAAATTAACAAAACTGATTTACTGGAAATGCACATGATTCAGTTCATTAAAAGATCCCAGATGATTTTAGAAAATTGCTACTCTAAAAACTGTTTTATCATTTTAGTAAGAATAATTCCTCAACAATACCTGAAACAATCAACAGGTTTAGAAATGCTGGAAACCAACAAAGCAAGAGGCTTAAAAGTAGCTTTAAACTGTTGAACTTCATTATGATGATAATTATCCTCACCGAAATAAAGACGTCGACGGCATAAGAGAAAATTGTAACTATGCATTCTCTGGAAGAAAAGCATGAAAACAAACATCTATGACAGCATATGAATGCACACGTGAAAACATCAACACAACTCAGTCAGTAAAACACTTTCTGCTTACCTCAAAATGACAGAAAACTCATTTAAGTCGCGTTCTTATCCCTAAACACAAGGCCTCTTCAGAGGTCTTATACCCGACTGGGGAAATAATTCACAAACCGCGTTTGACCACACCAGAACAAAAACCTGTTTGAAAAGATGCATTTAGCAACGGTTTGTGGAAACATTCAAACTTTCACAAAGATAAAGAACTCACCATCTGTCCAGAACAGTCATCAGTGACGCCCAAACCTTTAATAAGCTCCAGTAGCATCTTTGGTTCCTTGTTAAAACAGGTCACACAAGACAGTCCTCTGTTACCAAAGACTTTGCTGTCCTCCCCTTCCGATATCATTACAGGAAAAATGAGCAGTGGCACAAATTAGCTCCTGCACTCAAGAGACATGCATGCAAGACACACAGGCATGCACTTACACCTTACGACCTCCCCCTGGGGTGTAAAGCCTTTATTAATACATAAGCAGGAATTGAATGACGGTCTACACGGTTCACAAGTGCATCAACCCCCCTGCTTTTGTTTTCCTGTCAGGAGTCCTTCATCACAGTCACAAACTGGGCTTCACAGCATCCTACTCAGGCAGATGGGAATAGTTTCACATGAAGAGAAGAGGCAAATATTTAAATAAAGTAGCAGATGAAGGGGGGGGGGGGGGGGGGGGATCCAGAACACTTGGAGCCGGAGAAACAGGAGACGCTTTTGCAGAGCCAGATGCAGGAGCAAGGTGGAAATTGACCCCGCTGTTTTAAAATGGAGATTGTTGCATCAAGGCTGCCAGTGACAAGAACAGTGTGGAGGATAAAGTGCAGAGCAGAAGGGTAAAATGATCCTACTCTATATACAATTAGGCAGGGAGGGTTCCAAGCCCACATCCAAAAAGGCTGCAGGGGAGGGCGACACCAGGAAGACAGAAACTAATATGAGCCTGTTGGAAAGCTTTCCAGGAAACAAGTATTTCAGCCTGGAGTCCCACAACAAAAGAAAGTTGGATATAATAAAAATGTGTCTGCCAGAGCAAGGACGGTCATGTGACTCCTTCAGGTACACGCTACATCTGTGGGACCGTAAAAACCACTTAAAGCTACATGTGTTAGGCTCCATCGCTGCTCGTCCCCCAAGAAGGAATTTGATTTCTTCCTAAATTTATCATCATTTCAATTAATTTTCCGTTTTATCTCGACTTTAATCATTTTTAGCACAAGAGGCCAAATAACGAACTTTAAAAAAATTATACTAGTAAAAATGTTTACTGGTTTTCCAGATGTTTAGGGAAATCCACCCATTTTAAAGTTATCGTTCTCCTCAAGTTTAAGTCAAACGATCACGTCAGATATGAAACTGAAGAGAATCAAACTGGAGGAACAAATCCCATCAGTTAGGTGAAAAATAACATTTTAGTTAATCTAATTGTGTGTGTGTGTGTGTGTGTGTGTGTGTGTGTGTGTGTGTGTGTGTGTGTGTGTGTGTGTGTGTGTGTGTGTGTGTGTGTGTGTGTGTGTGTGTGTGTGCAAGTAAGTAAATGTCAGCTTAACACCAAACCCCTCACCGGCACTTCTAATAAAAACAAGAAGCTGGACAATAATTTTTTTTATAATCAATGTTATAATTTTACAGCTCAGACACAAACGACAGGATAAAAACGTTTTAGCAAAAGCCAAGCTCTGGGCCGCGTGCGATTTGGTCTAGAAGGCGGGAAAGTAAAGTGTTAGACGTGTTGGTACGACAGATGACAGATCTCGTTATTTTTACAATCCACAGTTGAAATGATGAAGGCACTCACCAACAATAAAGGGGACAGAACATGTAAACAAGATTGGCTCTTTGATTTTAAATTTCTACAAATGATTTCCACCAATTGTATTTTTAACTAAAAATTTTTCTGACAAACTAAAATTCTATTCAGAACCTCTTAGTTTTAACTACACATTTTAACTGAAATAATGTACTTGACTTTCGGCCAATACTGATCTAACAGACCATAAAGTGCATCTAAAAATAGATGGAAAATAAATCTAATTGCTAAATTCTCTTTCAATATATAAAGAAAAAAAAACAGCTGATTGGTTTGATTCACTCAAACAACTATATCCCAAATTTAAACCATGGCCTAGAATAAAAAATAAATAAAAATCATAAGATATTCATCTAAATAAACAATATAAAACAAATCTCTTTGCATTCTGCTTCCCAGAAGACGACACATTTTACACATTTCCACATAGGCACATTTCAGTACGTGTGGCACATGTAGCACCATCTCTCACACACTTTAAATATTATTTATCACCAATAATTCCACTTGATTAGAGGCGAAACACAACCAGAGTCAAAACTGCAGCTGATGTACTTGAATTAGTTTTTGTACTTAAGAAACTGGATTTAAATGAAGAAACTATGGCCCACCATTGCTTTATCATATGTTTGACAATGGTGCAGCTGGCAAATTTGTCTTCATTACCCAATAATGTTAACTGACTACAGCAGATCAGAACCCATAAGAATCACATCAACTCCTGAAAATACTTCCAGTAATAAAACAAAGCTGTAAGCGGGCAGGTCGGACGCGTGGCAGACCGGTCAACAGCAGGAAGCTAAACACGTCGCAGGCGCGAAAGAACAAAGAGGAAAGCTGCTCTGCTGCTAGTCGCACACAAAGCAGATCATTGTGACTCTCCACCTGGCCTACTTCCTTTCATTTGCGTAGTGTCGTCTACAAAGAGGCCTAACAGTTCCAGCTGAACTGATATGGGAGTAAATCTGAACGTGTGCTGCTTGTTCTTTGGCTTCCAGGCCCACGGTCACCTCCTCATCTCCAAGTGTTCATCAGTCAAACTTATTGTAGTTGCTGTTGATGAGCGCGTGACCGTTCAGCACGTGGCCATTTTTAACCTTCCCTCCTTGCCGGCAGCTGTCATTTTCATCATCCGACTCCGTCTCCTCCCTGTCGCTCCGCTCGTCCTCGACAATGCCCTGCAACACAGAACAAGACGTCAGCAGCCGCTGGTCGAGGGTGAATGTGCTACGGTGCCACTTGCTGTGTGAAAAGCATGTCTCTTACATTGCCTGGGAGGAATTTGATGACCATGCGCACGATGAGGATTGCCCAGAAGATGTGCAGAAGCTGCAGCACTAACATCAGCCCGTTGAAGAAGCAGAAGCCAAAGAAGGGACGGTGGACGGTCAACGGGTACACCAACGTCGTGTGAATGATCCTGAACAAGAGGACAATGCAGAACAAAGAGGCTAGTCAGATCCACCTCCAGTCACGCTCCTCGACACCCGGGAGCACAGACAATGGGTCTGTTACTGAACAGTAAAAAGCCTGAAAAGTTTAAAAATATTTGATAAATGACATAAGAATCATTAAGTGAGCTCGACTGATATTCTATTTAAAACAATACAACTACAAATCATTTATAAATGCAACTCTAATAAAAAAAAACAAATCAGGACATGTCCCTGGGGCCTCCCACTCTTTATGAATGAATCTGTTTGTTGTCAGAGCTGGATGTGGCCTGAGAAGAATAACACCCACTCGATTTGTTCAGAGTTAAGGGAGGCAGAGTGGAAACATTTCAGGGGTGTCAAATATGTGGCCCTCGGGCCGGATCCGGCCCGCAAGCGGGTTAAATCCGGCCTGCGAGATGGTTGTGTAAACTTTATTTTCATACTTTACAATGTAGAGTGAAAATAAACTTATCTTTGTGAGCAAGTTTTCTCTGTAATGAGTATAAATAAAACAAAGCTGCGCTCAAGGCTCACACCAGAACTTGAATCACATCCTGAAGTTGGCCGCCACTCAGGATGTGACTTCTGATGTTGATGTGCTGGTGAAAGCTAAAAGATGTTAAGTAAAGTGAGTCAAATATACTTTAAGTGCTGCATGAAACTGATCTAGCCATGTGATCTGTAAGCTCTTTGAATCACTAACGAATGTTTTTTTTATTTATTGATTTTTTTAGTTTTTTCAAATTTTCAAGTATACTTCAGGTGTTGTACTTGTACTATTTTGGATACACTGTCCTCAGGCTCCAGCCTTGTTTTATATTGATTGTATTAAAACAAAGAAAACAATCTGAAGTTGTTTTTAATTTACCGGTCCGGCCCACTTGGGACTAGATTTCCCTCAATGTGGCCCCTGAGCTAAAATGAATTTGACACCCCTGACTTGGACGATCATGCCAATGTTCGTGTGTCCTTAGTGTCAAAAATACCATAAAATGTTCAAAACCAAAGTCTGGCCACATGTTCTAGACTTCCTGACAACAACCAAGTTTAACATTTGTCACACATAAAGATACTAATCTTAAAAAAAATACTAAAATTGCATGTTTCGAATTCAAGCTGCTGAGTAGATCTCTCCAATCATCACTAAACCTTCTCATCAGGAATGAGTGAGTCGACATTTATGTTTACCAGAAAGGTAAGATTATGAGACGGGTGATGATGAAGACTACGGCAAACACGGTGAAGATGAAGTTGCAAGTTCTTTTCCATCTCGCGTAGTTGAACATTTTGGCCGACTGAAAAGAAAAAAAAAAAATCAGAAAAAGGAGGGATCACCATTTTAGTTTTGTATTCTTTCCATTGTGCCGTTTATGAATACTAAAGGTTTAGAAGAGAGAACAAAAACATTTCAAACATGCCCCTGAAAAATGAGCATTCAATCTGTGAGTCACTCCAGCCTACAAAAAACTGTAGGATGAAGAATATGCATTTGTATGTAAAGAACAATTCACACGTACACTATTTAAAATACTGTATTAATTCTAACGTACTTGTGAAAACACAACAACTGACTGCAGTGCGGATTTGGATACGAAGCTCCAGAAAGTTTCTGCATAGAGTCCATTTTTCCGGACTACTCGTGGATATTCCTGAAGTTAAAGAAATGACCGGAGCCAGAAAGGAAGGGAAATGGGGAACTGCGAGGTGCATCCGGATTTATTAAAATAAAACCTGTGTTGCATTTCTTTTTTTCTAGATTTTGTTATCTCCATTAATAACATCAGTTCACAGTGTAGGATTAACATTATTTTTTACTAATTTGAACTCGTGTGAAATCTTTAAATTTGCTGCTTTTACAGGAGCAAATTTATCACTTGTACGTCGCTTTGGACAAAAGCGTCTGCTAAATACATAAACAAACAAATTTTCAGGGTTCAGCAAACGAACAGCAGTCGTTGTGAACGACAGTCTGTTTATAAACTGGACTGCATTCAATCTGTAGTCTGTGTGAATCAGACTTTAGATTTCTTAAATGAAATCTGCATGATCTCCTATGAAATATGATTTACTTGCATGCACTGCGAAAAGCCACTGACTGGATTACTCGCTCAGCTGAGGTTTCACCTTGGCCTAGATTTCTCCTATGCTGCATCTAGTGTATCATATAATATTGGATGCGTTGAATGTTTATTTACCACAACCATCTCTTGCAACTTCTCTACATACCTATCCTCTTGAAAAATCGCTTGATCTTTTCACTATTTCTTACCCTTTTAAACCTACGGATCTTTGAATATATATAATGTAACGTCCAGCAACGGTCAGTTTAGGTACAGCTTGACCTTTCACCATCTATTCAACATCTGGTCAGAAAGGAGACACAACACTGCATGTGTTCCCTTTAAATGAGTCTGCCTTCATACAAGCTGGGATTCACAGACTCTGCAGCTCTGAAAGATAAACAATAACTTTCTTTCCCAAGGTCCCATCGGTCTGCCTCCACAGAAGAAACAACTCCAGCTCGAATCAGTTGCTAAATTCAAGAATGATTTACTAAATCAATACGAACTTCTTCTACGACTTATAATCTAGATAATCATTAAATAAACATTTGTTTATTACTACTTATAATAACACTGAATAGATGTTATATTATGTGTGTCTACTAGAACCTGCCATGTGTTCAACATGTTTTGACGGCGAGGTCCTCACACCTGCATCCACACAATAAGTACGGTTAAGTAAACTACAACACATAACTTGCCCTTTTACCAGTCAGGACATCCGATATCAAAGAAGGTGCGTTTCTGAGTTGTCTAGGTAAAACATCTCCAAACTTGTCAGCCTCTGATTGGCTGTGCAAATCATAACAAATCATAACTTGGAGACATGAATATTCACCTGGACAATCCCAGCTCATCAGGCTTCCTGTCACTAATGTCATCATTTGATTTAAAACTAGTACAAAGTCCTCCAACTCACAAAGCTGGAAAAGCATTTGACCTCATTTTCACCAGAAACGGTGCCATAGACACACTCTGTCACACCGCTGCATCTTTCGGATCATTACTTCATCCATTTCAGCACGACTCTGCAAGGGAGGTCCACTACTTCCTCCCCAATGGTCTCATTCTGCCGCAACCTCCGCAATCTGGCACCCAACCACTTCTCCTCTCTTGTTGCCTCCACTCTTCCATCTCCCAGCACATTCTCTGCTTATGAAGTGAATGAAGCCACCGAGTCACTCTGCTTTTGTCTTAACAACTTGTGCCCTTTAGCCACTAGACCTGCTAGATCCTCTCAGTCGCACCCTTGGCTAAATGATACCCTCCGGTCTCTACGCACCAATCTTAGAGCTGTGGAATGGAAAAGGCGCAAAACAAAAGATCCTGGTGATCTATTGAAATTTCAGGAATTACTGTCATTCTCTGCCAGCATCACTGATGCAAAGAAAACTTTCTACACTGACAAAATTCTCAGCTCTACTGACTCACAGAAACTATTTTCAACATTCAAAACTCTGCTCAACCCTCCATCTCCACCTCCTACCAACAATCTATCAGCTGACACCTTTGCCTCATTCTTCACTGACAAAGTGGCAGCTATAAGCAAACAGTTTACTCAACTGGCCACTCCTGAACATTCACTACCACAAACTCATTCAAGCCCAACCATCTCAGGCCGTACTGCTTCATTTTCCTCTTTTTCCCCCATCACTGAGAACTGTGTGTCCAAGCTTCTCACGTGCAGCCCCCCTACTACATGCCCACTTGACCCCATTCCGACTAAGCTGCTCCAAGCTATTGCTCCTACAGTAGCCGCAGCAGTCACACATGTGATTAACGCTTCACTGACATCCGGTACATTTGCAACCTCTCTCAAGCATGCTCAGGTTAAACTGCTGCTAAAAAAAACATCTCTTCCTCCAAATCATGTGGAGAACTACCGACCTATCTCTCTCCTCCCTTTTCTGTCCAAAATCATTGAAAGGGTGGCTTTCAAGCAGATCACAGAATACCTCTCACAAAACTGTCTGCTTGACCCTTACCAATCTGGTTTCAAAAAGGGCCACTCCACTGAAACTGCTCTGTTAGCAGTGACGGAATCCTTAAAAGAAGTTAGAGCGACAGGCAAATCCTCAGTGCTTATCCTGCTCGACTTATCGGCTGCATTTGACACTGTCAACCATGGCTTCCTTTTGTCCACACTCTCTAGCATGGGCATCACAGAGAAAGCACATGCCTGGTTTGAATCGTACCTCACAGGACAATCATTCAGTGTATCTTGGCTTGGACAATCCTCTACCGTGCACCATCTTGCCACAGGAGTCCCCCAGGGCTCAGTACTAGGACCTCTTCTCTTTGCCATATACACCACCTCACTGGGTGAGATCATTCGATCACATGGCTTCTCCTACCACTGCTATGCAGACGACACCCAGCTCTATCTGTCATTTCCACCGGACGACCACACTGTCTCTGCACGCATATCAAACTGTCTCTCTGACATAACAAAATGGATGAAATCCCACCATCTCCAACTCAAACTCTCTAAAACTGAACAACTTGTCATCCCAGCAAAACCATCCATACAGCACAATATCTCAATCCAAAATGACTTCCTATCTCTGGCTCCTTCAAAGGCAGTTCGAAATCTGGGTGTTGTGATTGATGAACACCTGAGCTTTAAAGATCATGTTGCCTCTGTTGCCCGTTCATGCCGCTTTGCGCTGTATAACATACGAAAGATCAGACCATACCTAACACAACATACCACCCAGCTCCTGGTGCAATCTGCTGTCCTCTCCCGCCTCGATTACTGCAATGCCCTTCTAACTGGTCTTCCAGCCTGTACTGTGAGACATCTTCAAATGGTCCAGAACGCAGCGGCGCGTCTGGTCTTCAATCAGCCAAAAAGAGCACACGTCACCCCTCTGTTCATTGAGCTCCACTGGCTACCGCTAGCCGCACACATCAAATTCAAATTGCTAACACTAGCATACAAAGTCCTGGATGGTACGGCTCCCATATACCTGAATCCTCTTGCAAAGGCTTACGTCTCGGCCCGGCCGCTCCGGTCATCACAGGATCGTCGGCTAGCAGTGCCTACACCACGCTCAGGACAATCCAGACTCTTCTCATGCATCGTTCCACAAATGTGGAATGACCTTCCAAGCACTACCAGAACAGGGGCTTCCTTTTCAATTTTCAAGAAACTCCTTAAGACCCTGCTCTTCAGAGAGCATCTTCTTAACTAGCACCTTGCCTGCACCCATCCCCCCGCTCTACTGTCCACTCCTTGTTCCCTCCTCACGATTGATGTCAAGTTGTTGTTGTTATTGTTGTTGTTAGCCTCAAGGGCAATATGCCGATTATCACTTGTAAGTCGCTTTGGACAAAAGCGTCTGCTAAATACATAAACATAACAGCTAAACCTTAAAACTTGATCATGCTGAGAGATTCGACAGTTCTAGAGAATCACTCAGACTGGCCATCTGTAGCAAAACCTCTTTAACCATCAAAGATTTTGACATGTCATGCACGATTAATTTTGATGCTGGATGCTGTTGAGTAAACTTCTGTCTGTGGCACGGAGCTGCCATTCCGGAGCTGCCGATGGGAACAGGGAAAGAGATGGCGTGTGTGCGTGTACGCTGGTTCTCCGCATCAGAGCTCTTGCCGAGGCGAGCAGACAGCTGCTCAGGGGAGAAATCAGTGTGTGGCACAAGATTACGAGGACGCACTCAGCAAATTAATAAAATAATGTGGTTCAGAGTGTCCAAAATCAACACAGCTCATGTCTGCCTTTGTTTACCTTATAATGGATGACACCGCAGACTTTCCAGCGCGTATTAAACGCCGCCCACAGGCTCGGGGATTTCCGCATTCCTGAGAAGTCCCTCGGATTTATATGTGAACACTACACCGCCCGAACTCACACCATCCAGCCCGACCAAACCCCGACCGTGCCGACGCTAATGTGTAAGCGCTATAAAGCACCTTGAATTTGTGAGATTTGGAGACGAAACACCTTGGTCTTTGCTTTGTTAAAGCTAGCCGGTAGCTTATCAGTCTGAGGGACAAAGCACAATTTCTCCCAACTGAGGCTGTTCAGGAAGTTATTTAGTTGGGTACAGATAATAATAAAAATTATTTTAGCAAATTTTTTGTGCTGTTAATCATCCAAATTTTTTAAGTGCTTAAATAAGAATTTTAAAACGCTGAATTATCTGCACAAAGTACAGTAATGACTACATTTGAGCTACTTTGTGACAACACGTTATACCTCCATTAAGTAGTCTGAGGCGTCATGCACCAACATGATCAAAGTCCCAGCCCGGATGTAGTTCACCAACCAGGAGAAACTGATGAGGAGGATGGTGGCCACATGGTGAACTATTTGTTCTTTGAAATCCTTTAGACACACAAACAGATGTTGTAAAGCCCAAAATCTGGACACTTATTGATCAGGCTGCACAGATTAGTCACCAATCAACAGTACCTGATGATCCTGGCTTCATAAATGATTTACTCTTTAAAAAAAAGTAGCTTTAAGGAAACAACAGTAAAAAGAAAATAAAAGTAGGGGTTGGAAAACAAAACCTGAATTTAAAAAGACTGACTTCAACATGGAGGCTTTTTGCTAAGCCTCCAAAATCTCTTTGTTTTTGGTTCAACAGATTAGGAGCTCAAAATCTAGTTAGAAAACCAGAGCTGGCGAAAAAAGAACCAGACTCGAAGTGGGAGGCATGAGTGAAACTAAAAGACATTCTGAAAGTCAACAGCTCAACTCAATACATCGTGTCAGGATTTAAGAGAAAATCAAACCTCAAACAGCACAAGAAATAGCATTTTTGGGCGCTTATTGAGCAACTTTGTACTGACAGAAACATTCTGAGAGGTCTACATAAAAAGCCACAGACTTCAGAGACAACAAGGTTTCACTCACCTTCCGTTTCACATCTGATGCTAGACTAAAAACGACAGAAAGATAGAAGCCCAGTTCGATCAAGTAGTACCAATACTGTGAGGGCAGCAGTGGCTGAAAAATAAGCAAAACTCCTTGTTCAATTCAGTATGTTTACATAAAACATAGTACCTGAAATCTCGGAAAATACGACAGGATTCTAATAAGGAATTTGTTACCATTTTTGGGAAGTCTTCCCACACCTGCTTCACATCATGGAACCATGGTTTCTGGGAGGAGATGGATCATTAGAGAGATCGCTCTGACAGTCAAAGCAGCACAAGTTTTGCAATTTAGCAGATCCAAAGGCAGCAAAAACAATTCCAAGTTGCCCTGCAGGTACAACGCTCCTGTGTTTTAAAGCAGAAATCCAGAGCTTTTCCCCTTCCAGCAAGTACAGGTGCTGGCCAGTAAATTAGAATATCATCAAAAGGTTGAAAATATTTCAGTAATTCCATTCAAAACGTGAAACTTGTACATTATATTCATGCAATGCACACAGACCAATGTATTTCCAATGTTCATTACATTTAAATTTGATATTCATAAGTGACAACTAATGAAAACTCCAAATTTGGTATCTCAAAAAATTAGAATATTCTGAAAAGGCTGAATATAGAAGACACCTGTTGCCACTCTAATCAGCTGATTTACTCAAAACACCTGCAAAGGCCTTTAAAAGGTCCCTCAGTCTTGTTTTGAAGGCACCACAATCATGGGGAAGACTTCTGACTTAACAGCTGTCCAAAAGACAATCATTGACACCTTGCACAAGGAGGGCAAGACACAAAAGGTGATTGCTAAAGAAGCTGGCTGTTCGCAGAGCTCTGTGTCCAAGCACATTAACAGACAGGCGAAGGGACGGAAAAAATGTGGTAGAAAAAAGTGTACAAGCTCTAGGGATAACCGCACCCTGCAGAGAATTGTGACGACAAACCCATTCAAAAATGTGGGGGAGATCCACAAAGAGTGGACTGCAGCTGGAGTCAGCGCTTCAAGAACCACCACGAGGAGACTCATGAAAGACATGGGATTCAGGTGTCGCATTCCGTGTGTCAAGCCACTCTTGAACATGAAACAGCGCAAGAAGCGTCTCGCCTGGGCCAAGGACAAAAAGGACTGGACTGATGCTGAGTGGTCCAAAGTTATGTTTTCTGATGAAAGCAAGTTCTGCATTTCCTTTGGAAATCAAGGACCCAGAGTCTGGAGGAAGAGCGGAGAAGCACAGAATCCACGTTGCATGAGGTCCAGTGTAAAGTTTCCACCGTCAGTGATGGTGTGGGGTGCCATGTCATCTGCCGGTGTTGGCCCACTCTGTTTCCTGAGGTCCAGGGTCAATGCAGCCGTCTACCAGGAAGTTTTAGAGCACTTCATGCTTCCTGCTGCTGACCAACTTTATGGGGATGCAGACTTCACCTTTCAACAGGACTTGGCACCTGCACACAGTGCCAAAACCACCAGCACCTGGTTCAAGGACCATGGTATCCCTGTCCTTGATTGGCCAGCAAACTCGCCTGACCTTAACCCCATAGAAAATCTATGGGGTATTGTGAAGCGGAGGATGCAATACGCTAGACCCAACAATGCAGAGGAGCTGAAGACGACTATCAGAGCAACCTGGGCTCTCATAACACCTGAGCAGTGCCACAGACTGATCGAGTCCATGCCACGCCGCATTACTGCAGTTATTGAGGCAAAAGGAGCCCCGACTAAGTATTGAGTGCTATACATGCACATTCTTTTCATGTTCATTCTTTTCAGTTGGCCAACATTAGAGAAACAAACATCTTTTCATTGGCCTTTAGAATATTCTAATTTTCTGAGATACCAGATTTGATGTTTTCATTGGTTGTCACCTATAAATATCAAAATTAAACGTAATAAACATCGGAAATACATTGGTCTGTGTGCATTGCATGAATATAATGTACAAGTTTCACGTTTTGAATGGAATTACTGAAATATTTTCAACCTTTTGATGATATTCTAATTTACTGGCCAGCACCTGTATATATGATATTTTTTAAAAATCCGTAAAAATGTCTTAATCTGTACTGTGATATACGCAATCTTTTTGCTTACCCTGCCTCCCATTCGATTTGACCACATGCAATTTGAATTAAGCACTGTTTAGCATTAGCCAATAGCGTTAAAGACATTTGCTTATGTGTAGATGTCAACCACGGAGCAGGTGCGCGTTTGTGGAAGTAAAGTGATGCAGAGTTGGCCACATTTCTTATGGACAAGTAGGAAGCGTGGGAATAGTAATTATTAAGTGGCGTTTTAGCTCTGCTGCCTGGCTAGAAATGTGCGTTCATGAAAGAGAGGCGTTGCCTCCAGCTGCAATCAGAAGCAAGAAGAGGTGCGTAAGGTGCAGTACATTTTTCCACCTCTAGATGGTGCGCTAAGTAAAATACTCCAGATTTCTGCTTTAAAGTCAGCTGTGGTGCACCATGATCACTTACAATAAGTTAGGATCCTGCTTTTTGTTCAGCATCTTTTATATCACATTTTTCATGAGATGCTTTAGTTCACAGAATGTTTGTGAAAGTTGTAACTTTTCTACTCACATCAACAAGGACTCCCAGACCACCAAAGAAAACAAGAAAGTAAAATGTAAACCTCCAACTGTAAGAGAACAAACAACTATTTTAGCAAAAAGTGTAGTAAAACTTTATTTAACAGCAAAAATAAAACTAGCAATGATGCTGAAGAGCACAATCATTTGGGTTTTAGGGAAATATGAAAAATTAAAAATACAAAGATTTCAATCCGCCTCATGTTGGTTCCAGGAATGACATTTTTAATTTACTTCCTTTAAACATGTATTTTTCCTCAGATAAACCGTGAAAACATCCAACAGACAAAATCCTCCCTCCTGCAGCTGCTGGAAACACCTGGGTCAGATTTGGTGTTTTATCTTCAGCAGCCGCTGCCGTCTTGCAACAGCTTTTGAGAAATGCTGCCTCCCGTTCTGTGGGCGTGTCTGGGATGAAATTGGGTCCACTTATGACGAGACTATTATCAGCAAAGCAGCTAAACACAGTGAAATTACAACTTAAATGTCCTGCAGTAGCAGCTCATGTCAGAGCTTTACAGCAGCAGCCTCGATAAATCAAAGAGGTTTCTGCTGGAAGACTTGAGCAGCAGTTTAATATACAACTTCCCCCATGCTGAATGCTTTGATGTGGCACCAGAAAAGAATGCCAATCTGTGCAAGAACATCATGGTCTGCTTAAAGTCCTGTCTTTGATCAAACAATGCCAAAGGAATTCTAAATATCTCAATTTTAAAAATATTTATCAGCTGTCTGGGGAAAGAAACAAGCCCACCTTGCTTCCTGGAACTTTTTGAGCTTACTGGGCCGATCCTGGTTCCTCCGCTGTCTGAACCATCTCTGGACCTGTCGCACTGAACAACCCGTCTGTTTACTTAAACTCTCTACGGTGCTCTGACAAACAAAAAAAATGGCAGGACAAAGGAAAAAAAATTTTTTAATATAAAAGTTTAAGGTGTGAGAAGAGGCTACAAAGCCTGGATGTGTGCATAGTGCGTACCTGTGTCAGGTGCTTCGATTTGTTGCTGAAATGGAATTCCAGAATGGGATTTAGAGGAGCACGGACACGAAGTTTATCGGTTACTCCCAGCAGAGAAGCCAGGGGAAGTGCTACTGTCCTTAAAAGCAAAAACATTACAGTTGATAGTAGGGATGTTGGAAGACACTGATGCACTGAAACATCACAATATTTGTGTTATGATACTGAATTAACATTTAAAAGCATTGATTTTTTTAAATAGAGAATTTACATGCAAAAATGTACTAAATTTCTTTTGTTTGGTGCAATTCAAAGTCCAACTGCTAGGTGGCGGCAGCTTTACCGCCTTCATTTCCTCAGGCAGGAGGTTACGGTCCATCCGGACCAGAACCTCCCGCCATAAGAACAGCTTCTTTCCATCTGCCGTTAGACTTGTGAATAGATTATAAACACACAACCATGCTGGTCTTCTGTACTCGACACAACGTCACGTTATCGGCCATGTTACCATTACCTGCCATTTTTTATCGCTGAAAGTTTTATTCTAGTTTTTTTTTATTATATTTTATTCTATTTTTAATCTTATTATTCATGTTATATGTAGCACATTAGTACCGAAGCAAGTTCCTAGTTTGTGAATTGTTTGTTCACTGACAATGGCAATAAACCTATTCTGATTCTGATTCATTCTGATGGAATGACAAGTGATAACTCTGGGTGTGTCTCGGAAGAGTCTGGCCTGAGATTTTCAATGAAACTCAGTCTTAAAAATTGCAAATATCAACCAGTTTTAGTATCACAATTTATCAGATTGTCTCCCCGTATTGTGATAAATATCGTATTACCAGAATCTTGCCAATATGCACCCCTAGTTAATAAAGTTAAAGTCCCATTAGTTGTCACACACACAGGTGTGTGTGCGAAATTTGTTCTCCGCATTTGACCCATCCCCTGGGGGAGCGGGGAGCTGCAGACACAGCCGCGCTCGGGAACTATTTGGTGGTTTAACCCCCCAATCCAACCCCTTAATGCTGAGTGTGAAGCAGGGAGGCATTGGGTCCCATTTTTTCAAAGTCTTTGGTATGACCCGACCAGGAGTCGAACCCCTGATCTCCCAGTCTCAGGGCGGACACTCTACCACTAGACCACTGAGCCGGTTAAAGTAGTTGATAAATAATATTTAGAGCTACAAGACAGAATTATGCTGATAAAACAGGTGACCAAATACTGAAGGTGAACTTTTAAGTCACAGATATATAAAAAGAAAAATGACTTACCTTTCAAATATTTTTCTTACAATCAGGAAGCAGAAGGCGATGGGTATGCTGGGCCAAAGGTCCCGTGTTTTAGGAAAGATTTTACCGTCATGATCCTTTAAATCATCCCAGCCGTGGCCTTTGGGGAACCAAATCCAGTCAGCCCATATCAGCTCACTCAGCCGAGATAACATCCTGCAGATAAAACAAGTTGAAGGTATTTTGAAAAAAATAAAAAGCAGAAATTCACTTTCGTGGTGAATTCCTCTCAGATTTCCTAACAGACCCAGCTCGTCTCTGAGCCCTGATAATATCCTGAGAGGAAGAACAAAACAAAACAGAGGCAGCAGGGAGGGACGGAGGTTAATAATCCCTTGGTGCATCTGCAGAAGGCTCCATTTCTGACCACATCCTCATGAAAGATGAAAGACAGCAAACAACAAAATAAAAAACAAGCAGTTCAACCCAAGTATCTATAATATGTTTACCTTAAAAAAATAAATAAAAATCACTTTTGCTGCACCTAGAAAATATATTTACTCCAAAATATTAGAATTTTGCTGCTTATTTGTCAAAAGACTACCTTTGAATCAAATGTTTGCTTGCTTAACAAACCGTTACTAAAACCAGTGGAGGAAATTACACAATAATCCCACCTTGTGTGTAACCTCTTGAGCAAAAAGTCTTGTGATACAATTTCTACAATTTATTCTTTGTTAAAAAAAAAAGAAAAGAAAAGCAAAATAACTCATCTAAGAAATATTTTAAATATGATTATGTATCATTTCCAAAAGTACAGGTGTTGATTATTTTAGATAAAGCAAGTGGTCATACTGGAATTATCCATCTATTTTCAGCCACTTATCCGGAGTTGGGTCGCGGGGGCAGTAGCCTAAACAAAGAAGCCCAGACTTCTCTCTCCCCAGCCACTTGGGCCAGCTCCTCCGGAGAAATCCCAAGTTGTTCCCTGGCCAGCTGAGAGACATAGTCCCTCCAGCGTGTCCTGGGTCTTCCTTTGGGTCTCCTCCCAGTTGGACGTGCCTGGTAAACCTCACTAGGGAGGTGTCCAAGAAGCATCCTAACTAGATGCCCGAGCCACCTTAACTGGTTCCTCTCAATGTGGAGGAGCAGCGGGTCTACTCCGAGCCCCTCCCATATGACCGAGCTTCTCACCCTATCTCTAAGGGAGAGCCCAGTCACCCTGTGGAGAAAACTCATTTCGGCCGCTTGTACCCGCAATCTCGTTCTTCTGGTCACTACCCACTAGGGTCCGACCGATATATCGGCCGGCCGATATTATCGGCCAATACAGGGGTCATTAACACTATCGGCCAAAAAGACGGCCGATATGGCGCTACCTATCCAGCAGATGGCGCCAGCTTTATGAACTCATGTTGTGAGGCTCCACTCCTCGGGGGGTGGAGCCACCGTCACAGCACACATGCAGCAGAAGCAATTCAGTCAAGCAGAGAGGACGGTGATGAGGAAGTAGGAGGTAGATCTTCAGTTTTAAGCATATTTGTTGTGTCAGTGGTAAGTTGAACGGTAAAATAAGCAATGACAAAAGTATGTTTCCCCTCAACATGCTTCCTAAATTTACTGTGTGCCTCGTGGCCTCGTATTGAAAAGTTAACCTGAAAAAATAAAATAAAACTGCCGCAGCATTACGCTCTATGCAGAGCTCACGCTGCTTCCCCTTTAGTCATGCAGGGCAGTAACAGTAAGTAACATTGGCCTTTTTCTGGTAGACATTCTGGAATATTCTCAGACAATTTCCTCCGCTCTTCTTCAGCAGTCTTTCCAAACTCATGTGGTTCGCCCATGTGGCCTATAGAATAGGATAACAAGGGCGACGAATGAAGGCGGTCCCCGTTTCACGGCGCTTCAGCAGCACACGACCGTTGTCGCAGCTGAGGACGGGAGGCAACAAAGCAATGAAACGCTGTGCAGGGAGTCCCCTTCCTCTCCCTAGCTGGGAGAGGAGGGGGGCGGTAATACGAGAAAATAAACATTCCTCTACAATAGAATAAATCTATTGTATTTTTTCAGCCTTATATTTTACATAAGGCTTATACATTGCCACATACTAGTCATTTAACGTATCTTATTTTTATTTTCCTAATACTGTCGGCTTTGGAAAGGATCAAAACACAAAAGTGTAAAACTCCACAGACTCAGAAAACAAAAAACTTGAATGTTAGATTTATACTGACTGCGTTTGTGTGTTCTGTTGTTTTTGAGATTACAAAATAAATCTTATTTGCATTACTTGGAAACCCTAGTGAGTTACTGAGACAGTTCTTTGGTGTGTAATATAGAAATAAGTTAGCATCAAAAAGGCAGAGAATGAAGGGTGAAATCTTAAGAACATTTGTATTTATTTTTTTTGTGTGAGGGAGAATTATCGGCCATTATATCGGCTATCGGCCTTTGTTAAAAGTTTTATATCGGTATCGGTCCCAAAAAAAAGCATATCGGTCGGGCCCTACTACCCACAGCTCGTGACCATATGTGAGGGTAGGAACGTAGATCGACTGGTAAATCGAGAGCTTTGCCTTCCGGCTCAGCTCTCTCTTCACCACGACAGATCGGTACAACGGCCACATCACTGCAGACACAGCACCAATAAGCCTGTCGATCTATCTCGGGGTCTTGTTCACGACGAATGAGGGAAAGATGGAGCGTTAGAGGAGCCGATTCTCATTCGAGCCGCTTCACACTTGGCTGCAAACTGCTCTATTGTTTTATTAATAAAGCCTTTTCATAATAATTAGAATGTTGAGATGAAAAAAGGATTAAAAATGATACATTATGCATTTATTAGCCGTTTTCTGTCTGCAAAGATATATTACCCATGATGCATTGCTTCCATTCTAGCTGAAACTATATGTTTGTTGTGCAGATTTTACTCAGTAACATTTTCACCAAACTAACACCAGCGGCTGGTCCAGACTACAACCACAATGGACTTTATTCATTCCTGGCATCCGACGGTTTAAGTGGATTCGTTTTAATGAGTTACAATATCTGCACAACAATAAAACAATCCAAGTTGGCGAATCATGTGGACTTTGTGTGAAATTTTAGCATCAGATTTGATCACATGCTCACAGGGCAAAAACATTTAGTGATTATTACATAAATAAGTCATTTTAAAAAGGAGCACTTCATAGCACCCCAAAGCAAGAACACACTGCCTTTTGCTGATGCAAACAGAGCAGCTGGCTTTTACTGCACAAGACTGGCAGCAAGTGCAATTACACGACATGCATCAAGTTAAAAACAAACGTGTGTAGGTGTGTGTGTTTGTGTATGTGTGTGACAGATGACGGCAGCTGTAGCTATGTTATAGCAGATGGAATTTAAAGTATAAACATTTCCTGACTGAGGACATTATTTTTCAAAGAATGAGTCTAAAAGCTTACATATTTTTAGGGGCACTCTGCATTATTGCATCTATTAATGCAAATTTAAAAAGTTTTTTCATGTAACTCCTATGGTTATTTTCATGAATTCATTCAATCTTGTTATAGAAAGAAACAAATCTTCATAAACACCATAACTTTGATCTCAGCTTTGTGAAAATTGTTAGGTAGCAACAATCACAAAAACACCAACATCTAATTCCTGAAGGGACTGAACAATACCAGTAAGTGACGTTTGGTGTAAAAGAGAAGTTTCAAATTGAGCTTGTTGTGATTTGGAAAGAAATCCCTCACAGACTTCCTCTTTCTTCTGCTGTTCCAAAATGCTAAATGCAAGCGTGCATTAAGAAGAGTATCTCAAATCATCTCTTCATAGACTGGCAGACATCAACACTCGTATTACTTTAGAACAAGCAGAGGTCCTACAACAGTTAAGAGGTTAAACACAAGACTTAACAATGCTAAAATATGATCTCTTGGCTCTCTGTGTGAGAAGGATTTCCATCTCTTATCTCAACTTTAATTATTAGGCCTAATAGTAGAATGCAAATGTGAAAAGATGATGAACAGAAATAACAAAGTTCAACTTCACTCATATTTTTAATACATTAGCAGTGGTCTCTAGTCAGATTACATGCCTTGAAAGTCATCATCTGGGGGGAAAAAAGCTCTGATGCACCTGTTTGAGGACATAAAAGTCAGCTTGAGGAGAAAATCAGGGTATCTGCAGATCTAAGGGAGCCAAATTTAAGACTTTAAGAACTTTTTTAAGGCCACTTTGACCAAATTTAAGCTATTTTTAAAATTGAATTTAAGCTATAATTTCCAGCTATTGCCTGGAACCGGTGCTAACCACGTCGCAAACGTGGGATTAGCCATCCAGTTAACATTAAACTTGCACTTCCCCATGGCACAAGCTCCCACTAGCTTAACCAGCTAATGTGCTCATCTAAAAATAGCCCCCTTTAACAACCAACTGAATGTGTACGGTTCCGCTTACGCCAACATCGTACACAAAAGATGCTGAACACTAACTAGAAATTCATGAAATTTTTATAGAAATAAAAGAATCTTGTTTATTGGGTCTTTGGTAATTTAAGACCTTTGGAAACTGTATTTAAGGATTATTTGTCATTTTTAAAGGATTTTTAAGGCCTTAAATTTGGAAAAGCCAATTTAAGACTTTTTAAGGACCCGCGGATACCCTGGAAGGTGGCAGAAGATGATAGATTTGGAGTCTTATTTTCTGATTAATGGACATCTTGCCACTGATTGGCTAACAGCAATGCAACTCTACCACTCATTTTTGGTTAGCAACGTTGATTTTTTATCTTCTCAAATAACACAATCCTGAAGGAGAGTTGCTAATGCTAACGGTTAGCTTCTACTAGTTGAGATGTTCTCTGGCTACCTCGTTGCAAGCCAAGATGGCTAACAGTGTGACGTAGATCTGTCAGGCTTTTCTGAACCGAGTGTTTTCCATCTAAGTTTGGAAGCTGTTACAGGAAATGGGTAGGACTATTTTTAGCCTGCATGTCACTCAGAGTGACAGATCATTTTCAAAAATTAGTTAAAATGGTTTCTCAGGAAACCTGCTCTTTAAATATAATAAACATATGAAAGTAATCTGAGGTGCAGATGTTACAACACTTCTGATAACCAACTCTAAGGCTTCACATTGTTGACATCAAAGATAACACGAAATAGTTCTTCTCAACTTTTATTCAAACACTTGTTCTCCTTTAGTTTTTATTTCATTTCAAAATAAGTCGACTCGAAATGTATCTGTGGTGTGAAGTTCGGGACTTTAGTTGTGCCTGTGGGTCAAACTCAACTGCAAAACATTAGTTCTTGCGATAAAAACATTTAATCACACCAATTGTTTTAGAAATAATAATAATAATAATAATAATAATAAAAATAGTCCTAGCTGGTGCAACAAAATGGGATTCAAAAGTTCCACATGCATGTTAGACAACACAATTCTACCAAGCTGCAATTAACTATTCTTACATGTTCCACAAACAGTAAATGAAACACCTTTATACAATAAAATATAGTCAATGTCACATGTATTTAAGAATATAAAAGCCAAAAAAGTTTCAATCTATACAAAACTGCAGCATGCTACTGTTAATCTTGAAATGTCAAGTTGCTGCTAATAGCTCTCTGAGCACCGCCTTGTAGACAAATAACTTTTCCAATCATATCCAAACTGTTATCTTTCGTCATTTCTGACACTCAAAAGAAACGGGAGGAAACCAAGTCTGCTAGTAAAAAAGTGTCTAAAGAGAACAATTAAAAGTGAAGACAAAACACTGGCTCATCTATTAACTTGGTTGCTTGTTTTAAGATTGAATGACTCATAAATAAGAACAGGGGTAAGAGAGAGGTTTCACTTTGAAAATTAGGCTAGAAAAGCAGCCAGTGTAATGAGGGGAAAAAGCCTGATGATCATAGAAAAAATATCTAATTAATTTTGTAAGCTCATTTTTAAAACATACCAGAACTTGTTCACAGTATGCAGAAGTGTGGACTCGAGTCACATGACTTGGACTCGAGTCATTATTTAATGACTTCTGACCTGACTTGATAAAATCTATAAAGACTTATGACTTGACTTGGACTTGAATGCCAATGACTTGCAACTTGAATCGACTTGCATCTGTTGACTTGATGATGACTTGAGCATATTTGATATTTTAGCACAAAAGTGGCACAACATGGACATAAATCATAAACCATTCTTTGTTCTGGGTTTGATCTTGTACTACTAAATGCAGCAGCACTTTGTTTAGAATCAGTTTCAGTTGCACTTTCTGTCTGTTTGAGCAAAAAAATTAAGCTTTAAGAAGCTTTTTTTCTGGAATTTATTTATTATCATTGTCATTCAATTAAAGTTGAACAGATGACTTGATTACGACTTGAAAATTCAAAAGTTAAGGACTTGGACTTGACTTGGAATTCCACATCATTGACTTTGGACTCGACTTGGACTTGGTTGTCTTTGACTTGACTGAAAACGCATGTGACTTACTTGTGACTTGCAAAGCAGTGACTTGGTCACACCTCTGACAGTAGGTCAATCACCTCTTCATACTTAAAACGAGCCTTGTTTCAAAAACTGGCGCAGGGAGTGGCAGAATGCGCACACGTTGCGCAACAGGGAGTATCCGCACATAGCGGAACAGTTCGACTCTGATGGAGATTTCCAAAAGTTGTCCCAACAATGAAAGTAAACGCGAGCTTGTTGGAGAGAATAATTTCCAGAGCGCACTAACTGCACCCCTCCATGGGGTGAAAACTCTGGCGACATCTTTGTTTGTAGTTCCTGCAGCTAGCGTAGCATTAGCGACATCCGCCTCGAACATCTGCTGTACTTCCCCAAAGTGGCTTTTAAGTGTTTTGTTGCGTTTGTATTTAACAAATATTTCATTGATAGTTTGTTCTCAATGAAAAATGTCGTTTTAGAATTACAGGAAACGTTTGCTAGCTTGCTGAAGTCCAAAGTACCTTTTTATGACAGTAAAAATCGAAGAGTGGGGGTGTCAGCAAAGTTTGGAGGTTCAAAGTTTAATAAAAATCCTTCTAAACAGAAGCACTCTATAATTTCAATGCAAAAACAGTCGCGTATTGTGAGGGAGAGGGCTACAGATGAAAGCAGTGATGTTTAAACAGCTGCAGAAGCATCTGTGTAGTCCTCTTACCTTAATCCTCTCCGTGTGGGGCACTACTTCTGCTGCTGCTCCTCGTTCTCCTGTTTCTGTTGCAGCTCAGAGGATTTCATGAAGATTCTCGCCTCGAGAAACGCTCAGTGATAGTTCGATAAATGAATCCGCCTTCTTTCCTCCCACTTCAGGTTCGTCTCATTCTTGGAAAACGGGGGGGTGGGGGAAGTGTCGAGGGACTTTTTCCTGCGAAATTATCTTTCTTTTGTTGTGATATAAGACTGCGTTTGATCGCCAGCCTGATACTAGTAAATTCAGATTCAAGTAATTCAGATTAGTTTAAGGATGAGCATTTCTCATGGTTAGTTTACTGAACAAGAATAATTAGGGGGCAGGCTACTTAAAGTGACGTTTGTATGAAGGAAGGTTGGTGCCCCACTGTTTAGGTTCTGATTTGTTTATTTGTTATGGTGATTAGAGGTGATTTTATACAAATTCCAGACGTTATTTGGGAGATGAACATTAAAAATTAAATGTTGCTATTTAAAACAAATAATTTAGTAAACAAGGACCTTTCCAAAAGACTTAACACAAGTCGCCCCCTGCTGGCCCTTTAAAATAAGGCTGTTAAAATTATAATTCTGTGTGAAATGGAAAAAATGTATATTAAATGGAAGAGATTTGACAAAAGATTCAACATGAGAAGCTAAATCTGAGACTGCTGCATCTGCTTTGCTACAGATAGAAATACGGATACTTGATTTATTTCAAATAACAAGTATTCTGTGTGTGTGTGTGTGTGTGTGTGTGTGTGTGTGTGTGTGTGTGTGTGTGTGTGTGTGTGTGTGTGTGTGTGTGTGTGTGTGTGTGTGTGTGTGTGTTATACACGTGTGCATGTGTATGCATATGTATATATGCATCTTTTATATATGTGTGTCATCCTATCTTGATGTTTTTGACTATTGTGTTCAGGGACTGCAGATGACAAATAGCCTTTTTGCTTAATTTAGTGCATTTGCAGCAGCTTTTAATGTACAATTTAACCAATTCAATCATTTGTCCTTCATTCATTCATTCCAATATAAAAATGAAGATTTTTAGTCGACAAAGAAAGCACGTTCTCACACCAAGAAAATAATCTTACATCTTCAGTATGACTTTTAGATCTCAGATAAATAGATATATCTCTAAGATTTTGATCTGGTAGCGAAGCTGATGCAACAGTTTCATAATTAACCTCTAATCTCGAATTTTATGTCAAATCTGTCAAAAGTTCAGAGTGCTTAATTTAATTCCCAGTTTTTTGGACTACCGTAGTTGGCTGGCATTAATCACCCATCATACAAGAGGCATGAAATAAAGGCCCAAGGCATGTTTAGGCTCATCAGACCTAACCCAAAAGTCTGCAGCAGACAATCTCTACATACCTGAGGTGTGGCTACACACACATACACACACACCTCTCCCACTTACCGTAAGTGCTCTGCAAATAACCAAACTAACTATGTAACCTAAAACTGGTTTGTTCCACAAGTTTAAGTGCACCAACATCGTATGGCCGGATGTTTTCAACTTCTCTGAATACTTCTCAAAGCCAACAGAGAACAGCCAACTTCTCAAAAAAGGTTTATTTAGACTTAAATAATTAAAAATACATAAAATTATTTAGGACACGACAAAATACTTCACAAACATTTGATGTTTTTTTCTAAATTGTACTTTATTTTCTTTTAAAGACATGTTTTAAAACAGCAATTGTAGAGAATAAATAAAGAAAAACGTTTTTTTTTCACTTCCATAGGTACATTTTATGCAATTAAAAACTCTATATTAAGTGTGTTCATCGTTGTAAAGAGCACAGGAATCATCTTTTTTATTCTTCTTAAATTAAAAAAAAGGAAATTTCACATCACTCGTGAAATCAAATAGATTACCAAATAAAAGAAACATAAAAAAATCAAGATAGAAAAATTCCCAGCCCTTCCATCTATTTTGTCAATTTTTTTTAAGTAGTGGCAGCAGAGAATGTTAATTTGTGAAGTTTGAAGTCCTCCATTTATAAACCAAAGTATGTACAGTGAGAGGAAATCCATTTCTCTTCCATTTTAATCACTCCATGTTTTTTTTTCATTTACGTATAATTAATAAAACTAACTCTACATAACAATATTACCAATGTAATCATACAGAATAGTATTTTCTTCTGCCTCTGACTGTGTAGGCTGGCCTTCTGTTGGCGCCATAGACCACAAATCACACTATACAATAAAACCCTGTTCAGTAGAATAACATCAGTGATATGCTTTTTCTTCACATGTATATCTTGTTGCCGACAATAGAATATGTACACAATATAAATGAATCCAGCTGTGGAATGATAGAAACTCTGGAGCACTTCGGATATTGTGAATGCTGACTCTGTTGATGAGTTTGTTGCTGGCATTACCGCGGACAATGTTTTTGTAAGCGCATACACGGGATACAGCTTTTTATTTTTATTCATCTTTTCCCTTTTTCTTTTCTGAAGTGTTGCTCCTGTGCTATGCGGTTGGTCAAACGACCAAAAAAAGGCTGGGGCATCCCAAGTGGTATTCTTGATTGGATTCTTAGGTTTTCCTAAAAGGAAGAAGGAAAAAAGAGAAAGAAAGAGAAAGTAGTACAGATTTTTTTAAAAACCAGATTGCAGAGATGAATCAAAATAAACACTTGAGAAATAAAGTTGCATCTGCAGAACTTGACTGGCAGCTCAGAGAGAGTCGCGTGACTTAGTGTCCATGCAGTGAAAGTCATAATATACTCATATTCTTTTAAAATAGTTTGTCTTTTTCATTTATTCCTTGCCAGGCAACTTATTTCAGAACATGCACAGTAGGAATTCTGGGGAGAATATTAAAAAACAGCCCAAGGAAATTATTTTAAAATTAATTCATCAAATTTTTCTTCAAGCTTCTTCCACCAAATTGTATACAAGGCCAATTTCTGCAGAGCGTCTGAAGATAATAGAGAAATTAATATATGTATAAGCAAAGTTAACATTAAAAAACTATTTAAAATGTAAATTTTAGTGCCTTGCTGATAACTGCACCATTACTGTGGGGTTTTCTTGTTGGCAGGAAAAATTCAAGCTGTTGACATATTTCTAACTAGAGGTGAAAGTTCAGGGGTTGTCATTACGTCTAGTCATTAACTCAGTTTAATAATCATGTGTTTTAAAGTAACAGTGCAGATCCTTTCATGTGGGGTTCTATGGATATGTTTAGAAATTATAATATCTTACCAACAGACTGATGAGCTAACGGCTAGTCACAGAGGAGAAACACAGTACCAGCCGCTAGCTCATCAGTCAGCTCAGAACTAAACATATTTCTCCGACAGAGGTTGTCACGGTCCAGTATGAGTGGCTGCCAACCAGTCACTCAGTGTCTCTCTGCAGGTGGGAGTTTCCTCTGAGTAGGGCACACCTGTGGCGGATCTCTCCAATCCCACCACCGGGTAATTACTCACATTAGGTAGCTTCTATAGCCAGTCCTCTTGTGCTAAATTATTCTTGTGATTTTGCTCTTAAAAAACCAAGATTGATAACTTTTCCTGTGTCTGTCTCCATGACTGATTCTGTATGAGGGTCAGGAAATTACATCCCACTATGACAGCGGTTGAGTTTAACCACCAGGTCAGATATTAACTGTTCTTTAAGCTTCAACAGAACCCTACTTGCAAAGATGTGAACTGTCCCCTTTAAAACTGTAAAACCACAAGGCAAAAGTATAAAAATATCGTTTTTTTGGTGCAAGACAGATTGCTAAAACCTGTAGATAGTGTAGTTTAAAAACAAACAAAAAACAAAAGAAAAATCCATATTCATCCTATTTATAACTAACTTTCTTACATTTTCAGTCTGCAGTTACCTTGAATTTTTAGTTGTGGTTGGACAATTCATAAGGTGATCATTTATTATTCTATTAGATCCCAGAATTCCTACAGAGGAATGCAGTTCCTCAGGCAGAGGCACATGTCCAAAACTCTTTCAAGTAACCCCAGCTTTCCACTAGATGTGCAAACGGCGCGTAGCATAATAGACGCGTTTTACTTGCGAGCTCCCTTCCCCATCGGGAGCGTTTCAGGTGTGAAACAGAAGCGAAAGCGTTCCAAACACCTGGACCCGCGAGGCCACGAAATAACTGATGAGTTTCAGGACCACGCAGGATTAAAGTAGTTTACATGATAACAAGCAAGGAAAAAGATGGCAGCATGTATCCAAAAAGGTCTGTGGTTTGTTTTCTGTACTGATTACATCGGCTATGGAGGTTTCACATGTGATGGTGTACATTATTTACTAATTAGACTACAGGACATCTGCATGTGACTTTTATTTTGAAAGTTTTTCGACGTTTTACACTGCTTTCATGTTTAACTTCCTGTCCGAATTGCTGAGTGTGACACGTATTGAATGCATAGCAGAAGAAATTTGACTCGAACTGTGAGTGACACATCTCTACACATCTGGGACACTTCCAAACACACCAATCCACTGTAACAGTGGCTAATCGCTGCATTCTATGTTTTGTGGACGTTACGCGACGCTTGAGCGTCCAGTGGAAAGGCCGGGCAAGGCTAATGTCTCAGTCAGGACAACGTGACACATCCAATCAGTGACATTCACACCAGTGCTTTTACACATCTATACAGGATATGATAAATGCACATATTTAATCTTTATCTCACGTTTATAAAAACAAAACACACGGCCTTTCACACACAAACACTTTGTAGCCAACCATTTACGGGGGCACGTTTAGAACATTTTAAGTCTCACAAAAATCAAACGAAGCTCAGGCACAAAGTCACTTGGAAATGAGTAACAAACCACACAGAAACCCCGCACTCACCAAAAACGACCACACCAACCAACTAAAAACAAAGGGAATGTGTAAGAATGATAATCATGACAGACAAAAAAAAAAAAAAGAAACTAATCAAAATAAAGAGGAAAAAAAAGTCAAGAGGGAAAAACTTCTGATCATCAAATTTTAATTTAGCTTTTAACATTGAAGCTTTTAGAGGATTTAAATAAAAAACAGCATGTCATGATAATCAGTTACTTACATATGCTGAGGTAAAGTGACAATTGTTGATCAGTGTTTGCAAGGATTAAAAACCAGTACAAAATAATAATAATAAGAGGAAACTCACAACGCACCAAACACAGTTCATGGTCGCCACAGTAACCCGCCATGCAGTTCAGCATGGTGAATCAAGGCAACGGCCCAAAATAAAAAAAAAAATTGCTAATGGCAACCATCACAGGCAAATATGGCCACAGCAACCAACACAGGCCAATTAACTTACAACGCTGTGAGTAGGAAGGGGGGTAGGTTTTAACGGTTGGTAGGCAACCGTAGCCATAGCGACGCACGTCTCCACGATATACGCATGGATGGGACAGTCTTGAGTGGTATGATGTTTGGGGGTTTGGAATTTTTTTTTGCTTTCTTTTTTTTTTGCAGGAAAAATGACATTTGACACAGCACAAAAACAATAAACGAAAATAAAACATGAAAAAAATTAATGACAAACAGTAGTTCAACCCTGCGACAGAACACTGGTTAGACAGAACATTTGACTGGAGTAAAATTCTACATCTCAATAAAAGTGTCCCTAAAATAAAAAAGAACCGCTTGTATACAACAAAAGTGTCCTTTAGTCCTAATAATGTGTTTTAAATTGATGCCTTGAAGTGCTGCAGCCTCATTAAAGTTAATCTACTGTGGTGTTATTGATTTCTTAAGTTCCAAAGGAAAAATAACAGCCTGAGCTCCTGATTGCATCCACTTGATAGTCTTAAGTTTCACACGTTCTCTGCAGTCAATCAGTCTCTCCATGACCATCTCCCTAAACACATCAAGATCCCTCACCTCCTTCAGTAAGGCCTGTTGGCATCCTTGGGCCTCTTCAGCTGCACCTTCAGTCGCTTCATGCCGATCTGGAAGCCGTTCATGGCCTGGATGGCAGTCTGGGCGCTGGACGGGTTATCAAAGCTCACAAATCCTGTGAAGGAACATGAACACGTAAAAGGCTGTGTGTTTTTTCATCAGAGGAAAAAGTCTACATCTTCTATTTGATGATTCACAGTGACTCACCAAAGCATTTACTCTGGTTGGTGGCTCGGTCAACAAAGACCTTTGCAGAGATGACGTTTCCAAAGGGGAGGAACATCTGCAGTATCTCAGAGTCGGTGAATTCCTGCGGCAGGTGGTAGATGAAGATGTTACACCCTTCAGGACCTGTTTGCAAAAGTAAAAGAGACGTTAAAACACTGGCATATAATAGGGGTTGCATGACTTAATTTTTTTTTAAAGTCGACAGTGAAGTAATGAAAATCGAGTCGACTTCGACTAGTCGTTGATGACGTCATACACCTGAAGCAGTGGGGGGTCGGTAGGTTCGCTGGAGTTTTTGACAATTAAAATTGTGCCCACATTTTCTAAGTCAACACATCTCTTTTAACAACGGTAGTTTCTGCATCCTACTTCAGCCCTCTCCCCCCTCCCCCTGCGCAGCAGCTGCAAACTCACTGATGCGCCTGCAGCCTTTCCTGCTGCTCTAAACATTAAAATAATTATTTCATTTTCTGTCCCTCACTTCTGATTACCTTCAATGGTGTCTGTTTGTTGCAACCACCAGGTACAAAAACTAACTTGTTTTTATTTGACTATTTTTCTGTCCTGTCTGTTTATTATCTTCCTGCATCTCCTCTCAATCCTAAAGAAAAACTGCTGCCTGGGTTCATATATATTCACCTTATGAGTTACCTTTGAACTGCAGTTCTAAAAGATCTACCGACCGCAAAAACAGCGGAGTGCCGCTGCTTGCCGTCCGACTACAACGGGACCGTTTTTGCTGCGGAGTTCGTGCCGGAGCGGAGCGGAGATAGTGGAATTTTGGGGGTGCGTCACCAGAGGACAAAACAGGTGATGCGCCTCGCTCCACAGCAGCGAAACGCATCAGGCACAAATAACAGACTGAAAACATTAAATGAAATGAGCCGACATGAACGATCACGTGTTTAATTTGTTTTTGAGGTGGTGACACCTGATTTGGCGGTGCTCAGGACGCAGATGTCTGGAGCGCGTCAACGATCAGAGCTTTGCATGTGCAAACTGGTTAAGATTAGGATGGGTGTGAGGGGAATGTTAAATTGCAAGAGGGTAAAGGTCACAGTTTGGTTAAATGTCCGTTTTACCGCCGGTGTCAGTACCGACGCTCTGGCACAGCGCGTCGCCTCCGCCTCCCGATGCGCAGGGGCTCATCACCTGCTGTCTTTTCCGAGGACTGCATCTTGTCAGTCATTATCACGTGACAGCGACTAGTTGATGACAGGCATAAAAAGTCACTACAGAGCCGTGAAGTCGACTATTTCAAACAACCCCTAGCTTATAGCGGCAAGGTTACAGAATTAATACCTTAAAGAGAACTATGTTTATGTTTATTTATTTAGCAGACGCTTTTATCCAAAGCGACTTACAATTTATAACCTATAGGGCATGTTGTGACCTGTGGGGGAAACCGGAGTACCCGGAGGAAACCCACACATGCATGGGGAGAACACGCAACTCCACGCAGAAAGGCCGCAGAGAACTAATATTAATGCAATGGACTTTTTTTTTTTTACCAGTCTCAGCAAATGCAACATGTTAGTTAATTTTATAGTTACTGAACTAAAGTTTGTTGTCATTAGCCGTGTTTCTTCTACAGGAGTTCTGGGAAATATCTCGAAGGGTGGAAGCTGATACAGAAAATGTGATGGCTTGGTCCTCTCAGCCGTTGCTTCTCCATACAAAATCGTCCCATTCAGGACTTTGATAAGACGTCAGCATGTTGTGACCAATTTGCCAGAGAGTTAAATCACTGATCAGCACCAAAAGGCGTCCACGGACATTAATTCTTTTTATTTTATTTTTCAGGCATCCTGCGTTTACCACTCAGTTGACAAGCCACCTCCCAAAAGACAAGCAATAAATAAACAAACAATAATAATAATAAATTAAATGATGAACAAAAATACAGTTTGCCTGAGAAGAAGAAAACGTATATAATCCCACCCCCGTTTACTTATAACACCTTCTATATGTTTCACTGCTATTCTCTATAAATGAGCAATAATGATAATAATTCATCACATTACGGTAACTAATAAATATTTGATAGATTAACCAATTATGTCAATCAGTGTTATTTTTATTTTTTTGTATTTATTTTTATTTCTTAAAAAGAAGTGTTCAATGACAAGAGGAATTGCTGATTTTTACAGCACACTATAGGACATCGCAAAGCAGCGTAAAGTATGGTGTGGTGGGGGGATAACCTTGTGCTTCACCAGCTACTTTTACAATTTTCCAAACTTACAATCACATCACACAGAAATAAGTGAAATCAGCATTGTTAGACTGGCTAAAGTAAACTTGTTTAATCAACCACATGACATGCGAAATAGTGCCTTTTGTGCAAAGAGTAACTTAGGGTGATTGAGTCGGCCATAACAAATTCCTGGATTGTTTCGCTGAGATAAGATAAGGTTCAGCTCTGTGTTTACCTTCTCTTTGCTGAAGCTGCTGTGGCTGCTGCGGCTGCTGAGCCACCAGGGTGGGCTGGTGGGGGAACGGCTGTCCCACCAGGCTGTAGGCTGCAGGGTAAGTGGCTGAGAGAAAGTAGTAGTTCATCAGAAACTAAGTTTGGAATAATCAACATACAGCATTCTACAACTAGACAAAGCCTTCTCCTGCTGTTAAAAAGTCTGACCAAAATATAACAGTTACAACCGCGGCCATTTTGTAATTTTTAAGTCAGAGTCTGCACAGAGCTTGGTCCGCATTGCCGGCAGTAAGTCAAGCTTGTTTCCAGTGAGAGATGGACTCCGCCAAGGCTGCCCTTTATGATCGATTCTGTTCATAACTTTTATGGTCAGGATTTCTTGGGACAGCAGTAGGTTGAGCGGGTTGTCCAGTAATTGGAAGGTTGCAGGTTCGATCCCGGCTCCGACCAGAGAATTCTGCTGTTGTGACCTTGGGCAAGACACTTAACCCACCTTGCCTGCTGGTGGTGGTCGGAGGGACCGGTGGCGCCTGCGCTCGGCAGTCTCATCTCTGTCAGTGTGCCCCAGGGCAGCTGTAGCTACATCGTAGCTCATCCCCGCCAGCGTGCGAATGGGTGAATGATTCGTAGGGTCGTAGAACCCTAAGAAGGCGCTATACAAATACAGGCCATTTACCATTCTAGCTGCAGCCAAGGTGTTGAGGGGATCAGGTATCTGCTTTTTGCAGATGATGTGGTACTGTTGGCTTCATCAGACAATGATCTCCAGCTTTCGCTGGAGCAGTTTGCATCCGAGTGTGAAGCGTCTGGGATGAGAATCAGCTCCTCTAATTCCAAGACCATGGTCTTGAATCGAAATAGGGTAGAATGCCTTCTGCAGGTCAGGGATGACGACTTAAGGTTGGTTTATGCTTGACGCGTCCGTGAGGTTCGCACGGCGAAATTGCATCATTTTAACAACCATGCCCCTCCACCTGGCCTCGGCACGGCCCAAACTTTCCGCACTGCGCACCTAGGACATTTTTTAACCACGCGGACGGTCGAACACGGAAAAACATGGCGGACTGGCAACAACTAGTTACGGCAGAGGTTCGTAAAAACAGACATTTGTATGATTCAGCAGTCAAAGATCACCAAGATCAACATGTTGTTAATAATTCTTGGAGAGAAATAGCTCGCACTGTCGGAAAAGACGAGGTCGCTGTTAAAAAATGCTGGAAAAACATGAGGGACCGATATGTGAAGGCAAGGATGGGGAACAAATGGAAAAGCGGTGATCCTGGTGGAAACAAGAACACCCCACCAATACAAACAACAGTAATTTCTACTTCTACTATGGTGTAGTGTTGGATGCATGCTATAGAGCTCCATGCTGCCCCCTACAGTTTGGGAGAATATTGGCTCACTGCAGAGACAAGCCGCATGAACCATAAACGCTGCAAGTTGTGAAGCACGTTCCATCCGCGAGCCGCATCACCAAGCGTAAAGTGAATGCGTCAAGCATAAACCAAGCTTTAGGCTTCCTGTATATGTTAGAAATGTTCCACTGTGCAAGACTAAAACTATAACTAATAACTAACGTGTGTGAAAAATGCTAGTTACTATAGTTTCCATAGACTTTTGACTTTTCTACAAAAAACAGTATTGTTAATGCATGCAAAACCTTATCACTAGTAGCAACTAACATACATACAAACATAATTATACATTTCTATAACCTACGGTATAAATTTTAGGAGGAATTGGACTAACCTGTGTAATGCTGCATGCCTGTGTAAGCTTGCTGCAGGGGATCCAGAACTGGACTCTGAGCTGCAACACAGGAAACACACAGTCACCAACTGCTCAATGTGTATAAAATGGCTCAGAAATGTCATTTAGAGCACACCGACATGCTCAAACCAGTGATTCTCAACTAGCCACAAAAAGGTCCCCTTCAAAATAAACTGCATAATTATTTTTTTACACCATTTAACCCTGGTAAAGGTGTGCAACCCACTAAAAAGGGGTCCGGAACCCACTTTTGGACCGTGACCCACCAGTTGAGAATCACTGCTCTAAACAACATGTAAATTCCTCTTTATCAGGTCCTCCCCGTGACACACACGTGAATCTGAGAGTACCTTGGTAAGCGTGAACTCCGTTAGTGTACAGGGTTTCCGTGGCAGATTGGCCGTTAGGTGGAGCTGCCACTGAGGGGTAGCTGTTCACTGCGATGGGTGGAGGCAGGGCAGGGACCGGTGTGGCAGCGATGGAGGGAGGCGTGCTAGTACCTGCAGACAGTTTTAAATTAAATGTTTAAGTTTGTTTTTAAAACTTGCTGGACATTTGCTGCTTGGATGACAGTAACTCACTGACTCTTGTTGCATCAACCCCCCACCTCCATGCTGAGGTGTTTGGACATTCTTAACTTTGCTAAAATGTTATTTTTTTCCCCCAGTTTTTGGTTTTCTCGTGCAAACCTGTACAAACCCTATGTACTTGTTAAGTATTTTACTGCAGATTTTTTCTACAGCTCATCTGAAATGTGGTTCGTGAGGTTTTTACTGTTTATATATTTTATCAGCATGTTACGTGGTATTATCTTCCTTGTAAACTTGCAGAGATGAATGAGTTTCCAGCATGTGACCCATCTCTCAGTAGAAGGCTGAACGTTGAACTGTTTGGAAATGATCTGATAGCTTCCTGATTTGATAGGCAGCGGTAATTACTTCTCTAAAACTATTGTGGATGTATTTCCTCCCTGGCATTGTGTTACCAGCACAGACTGAACTGACACGTTTTTCTAGTCCTGTTTTTCACAGACGCTGTTACAGTAAATTAAAAAAAATAATAATCAGGATGTTTTTAGGCATAAAATAACTAATTATAACTAAAATATATATGTTTTAAAGTCACAGGAAGCAATGTATGAACTATATAAATCAACTGGAGTCAAGATGGAGTCACAACATGCCTTATAGTTTATAAATTGTAAGTCGCTTTGGATAAAAGCATCTGCTAAATAATAAACAAACAAACAAACAAGATCAAAGGTTTAGTTTTACTTTCAAATAGGGAACATACCCAATTCGTTTACATGGAGGGGGCGGGACTTAAAAGATATACCGAAACCAGTCACTGGGTGGCGACCTTTTTTCAGCTCCAACTTTAGGTGGTATTTCTATAACTTTAGTAGTCGAAGCACCAAAACTCTTTTTTCTTTTAAAGATGCTCAGATTGGCATCTGATTATCAGCATCCAGCTGCTTCTTTCCCCTTCTTTTAATGAAATAAATGAGGGTGGACTTCATTTTTACAATGTGGTTTAGCATTTTGACTGGGTAACATGACATTTTGTAGTTTATCAGAAATTGCATTTATATTTTTTTAAATGTCTCAATAGAATTTATCATGAACTTTTTTCTACAAAGTCACATATTTTAACACATAAACAAATATTTTTTAAGTTATAAACTATCACCATGTTTGCAATCCTGTCCTCCTGGGTCCAGCTCTCCTTGTGTATCTGTCCTCCTATTTCAAGCAGAAATCTAATTAAGGCCAGCCAGGGCCTGACATCTCTGCCCCTCATTACCTGAGGACGGGGTGATGGATGCAATCGGCGTGGCAATGATACTGCTGGGGTTGAGCGCGGCGAGCTGCTGCATCTGAACAGCTGCCACCGTGGCAACGGGAGAGAGGTAGGCCGACTGAGCCACCAAGGCCTGCTGCTGCATCAGCTGGAGGAGGAACACAGACAGGTGGAGATGGAGGGAGAAAAGGAGTCACGAGAGTCCGTGTTTATGGTCTGAAAGTGTAGAGCACTTTTTAAAAAAACACTTTGGTACACATTTTAAAGCTCTAAAAACATCTTTTTTGTTTGTTTTTTATGTTAAACAAGGTCAGATAATGAGATATGGTATTGACAGCTTTGCTCCCAGTCAGTGTGTTTGAAGGTCACATCTAAAAACACAACATCTCTCCACAGTAACCTGCTTCGTTTTTCCAAACTAGTGCAGACACCATGTGAGCTTCAGAATCAATCATTATGACCACCACAGGAAGAAAAAAGTGACCTTTTTATGGGATAATGTGACTTTTTCAGAATTTCTCTTCTATTTTAGTTTTTCTATTGTGTACTGGATTTCTTTTCAATAAACTGAGACATTTCTACACCAATAAATTTTCTTAAACCATCAAAAATTGAACAGCCTTAAATGAGGCACGAAATTGATTTGCAGACATAGAAGCAGCTATTTTGCACCAGTAATTTGTTTCTATTTTGAGTAAAACCATTACATCGATAAATTCTTTAGCCTTTTTTGACACATTAGTTTGTTTTATTTTTACTTAAATCAAACATCCGTGACTGCCGGGCTTTCTAACTGATCAATCGTCAAAGGGAGTTAGCGCGCACTCAGAAGGATAAAGTTACACAGGATGTCTCCTGTTCGTCTGTTTGTTGGGCTTTATGTATGTTAACAAATCATAGTGTCTAGTTATACTCCAGACAATCAAATAAGGCCTAATGAGCCATCATCAGGCAGGAGGAAGATGGAAGCAGAAGAGAAAACAGAGACGGAAGCCTGGAAATGAACAGAAAACAAAACTTTCAGAAATCATTTTTTTGTGCTCCTCACAGCCTGCGTGTAGGCGTTGTAGGCCCCAAGGTGCAGGGTCATGGGACTGATGACTCCCAGCTGGGAAGCCACCTGCTGCATCCGCCTGAGCCCTCTCTCCTTCTCCGAGTCGGCAAACTTAACCACCAGGCTGGACGAGGCGCCCTGCAAAGAAGATGCAGAAAGACTTAAGACCCATCACTGCACAACACCGCCAGATACATTTTTAGGTCGTCCAACAACAAAGAAGCAAACCAATTTTTGAGAAAGATGATCATTAACGCTCACATCTGCAGAGCAGGCTGCTGTGTGTTTTTAATTACTGCTAGATGTTTATTAGGCGGTATTCCTGCAATCTCAACTAAATGCACCACATATATTCAATTCAATTCAAGTTTATTTATAAAGCGCCAAATCACAACAAGAGTCGTCTCAAGGCACTTCACATAATAAACATTCCAATACAGGTCAATTCATTAAGCCAATCAGAAAAAATGTTTCCTATATAAGGAACCCAGCAAAATGCATCGAGTCACTGACTAGTGTCAGTGACTTTACAGCAATCCTCATACTAAGCAAGCACGCAGCGACAGTGTATTTATCCTAGTGAATCTATAATTAAACGGGTAAACTAGTAGTAGCCCATTCACTGTCAAGGAAAGTAAAGTGTTATTATCAGGAGAGGGAGATTGATTAAATGGTTAGCAACAGTGTTCAAGACGATGGCCCCCTCCATGAGGCTACCACAGCTCAGCAGAACATCATTGTAGCTTCTTCTGGGGAGAAAAACACTTAGAGAAAAAATAAAGTTAACAGCTGAAATTGCAGGAAATAATACAGTTAAAGAGCAGATTGTAGAAGAAAGTAGAAGTGTGGAAAGTGGTCAGTGTGTCCCATGCTGTCTAATGATTTTACCAATAGTAAAAAGAATTGGTCCAAGCACTGAACCCTGTGGTACTCTACAAGTACCCCTGGAGTATGAAGAAGATTTGTCATGTACGTTTACAAAATGAAATCTGTCAGACAGGTAGGATTTAAACCAGCCTAACGCTGTTCCTTTGATCCCTACAACATGTTCAAGTCTTTCTAAAAGAACATTGTGATCAACTGTGTCAAAGGCAGCACTGAGATCTAACAAGACTAGAACAGTCACAAGATTCTTATCTGAGGCCATGAGAATATCATTTGTAACTCTCACTAACGCAGTTTCAGTACTGTGATACTCTCTAAAACCAGACTGAAATTCCTCAAACAGATCATTAGTATTTAAATGCTCACATACTTGGATGGCCACTATTTTCTCAGGGACTTTGGATAAAAATGGAAGGTTAGATATTGGTCTATAATTCATTGGGTTACCTGGATCCAGAGAAGATTTCTTAAGTAAATGTTTGATTACAGCAACCTTAAAATCTTGTGGTTCATACCCATTTACTAAGGATAGATTGATTATATCTAGAATGGGGGCAGTAACCAAAGGAAATGCATCTTTAAATAATTTGGTTGGGATTGGATCTAAAATGCAAGTTGAAGGTTTAGATGAAGCTAATATTTTTGATAACTCTGAAAGCTCAACTGGATCAAAACGGTTCAAGCACAGATGAGGTTCTACAGTCACCTCTGATGCTGCCTCACTTACTGAGGAAGAATAAATCGCATTAGGGAGGATGCTAATGATTTTGTTTCTAATAGAATTAATTTTACTTGTGAAAAATCCCATAAAGTCGTTGCTGCTGAGGGCTAAGGGAATAGATGGTTCAGAGCTATGATTCTGTGTAAGTTTGGCAACTGTACTGAAAAGGAATTAGGATTATTCTTATTCTCCTCAATTAGCGTTGAAAAATAAGCGGTTCTAGCTTGTTGAAGCTTATTTTTATAAAGCACAAGACTATTTTTCCAGGATAAGTAGGATTCCTCCTGGTGTATAGAGTGCCATGTTCTCTCCAATTTTCCAGAGTTTTGTTTTAAAGTTTGTAAATGAGAATTAAACCAGGGAGCCAACTTCCTGTCCTGTCCCTAATTACCTTCTTTTTGAAAGGGGTAACATCATCTAATGCCACACGTAAAGAGGAAGTAACATTATGAACTAAAGCATCAATTTTTGAAGGGCTAAAAATGAAAATCTTGCCCTCTGCTACGTTCCTCTGAGATGCTGAAGATAGTAAAGATGGAACAGTTGATTTAAAAGATGCAACAGCGTTGTCAGATAGAAACCGACTATAGTGAGATTTACTTTCGTGTCTCGAGAACTCAGTTACAAATAACTCAAAGGTTATTAAAAAGTGGTCCGAGTGGACTGGATTATGTGGAAGTATCGTTATTTCCTCACACTCTATGCCATAAGTCAGCACAAAGTCTAATATATGATGGCAGGAGTGGGTGGAGAAATTTTATTAATTTTAACGATTCACATACACTGAACAGCTACATGTAGTGCAACACTGAAAACAGGAAACGCCTTACCACAGATACTGCCACCTACAGTTAGAGCAGAGTACGACTACACAAGCAAACAGGACTAAAGAAGTCATAACTGTGTTCCATAAATAAAATTTGTGTCTCATAATATCGACACTTTAGATCTACAGTCAACCACCTGGCTCTCTAAATAAGCTGCATCGACATCATCTTTGAAAAATCCATGACTATAAACCCCAGTGCTCATAATGTCACTGGTTCATGTGAATCAAGAGACTTTAATTATCTCTCCTTTCTCTCATTTCCTTGTTGATTGTTTATAAAACTGCAAACTCTGTCAAATTTTCTGATAGAAAGCAAACCTTATTTAATGAAAGTCTTATTTATCTGCAGATTTACAAAAGTTACAAAAAATTCACAAAAAAAATGTCGACACTAATGTGGGGAAAAGTTCTCAGAAAGCATTACTAGCATTACTAATATCAATTTATCAAAAGTCAGGTTGCAGAAGAAACAGGACCAGGAGGAAAAGCCACACATCCTTCTCCTCAGCAACACTCAGGGAATACCAAGGTGTCCATCTCTCCAGTAGGTTCTACATCTGTTCTGGTGTCTTCTCCCAGTGGGTCGAGCCTAGAAATCCTCAAGATGCATTCAGGAGGCATCCTAATCCCAATCCATAACATTTGTACTCTGATCTCCCTCATGCCCAATTCCAATTCTTGGCCCAGTCTACAGGGGAAGCTCATTTCAGCTGTTTGCATCCCGAAACCAGTTCTTTTGGTCATGATCCAAATCCCATGACCACAGATGAGAGTCGGTATGTAAACAGACCAGTAAATCAAGAGCTTTGCTTTTTCTTTTCTACGCCCTCACTACTGCAGACAAAAGTTTTGATCTATGCTTCAGTCTCACGCTCCGTCCTTCACTTGTAAACAAGACACCAAGACGTGTGAATTCCACCCCTTGAAGACACTCCCACCCAGCCCGGAGGCAACGATCCACCTGTTCCCTTTATAAGAACCTTGACCTTAAAGACTTAAAAGAGCTGTTCACAAATTTGTTGCAATGAAAACACAACACAAATGGATAGAAGGGACGGTGTCGTGATGCAAAACAACTGTGCAGCTTATGATTACAATGATATGGAGCTGTGCTTCCACCTGCGCCGAGAAAAAAATGGTTAGCCTATGAAATACTGAGAAGTTATTGTCATTGCAATAATAATGCATCAGCATACAAATCAATTTTAGTGCTTAGAAAGTGCACGGTGAGCATCATGATGGCAGAAGAAAAGGAGGAGTCAGAAAAAAATGTGGATTTATCACAAACGATATTGTTGTCAATCCCCGTTCTCTGTTTTCCTACTTAGAAAGTTTCTATTAACACTTACTGGGATCATTACATGAACCGTGGAAAGACTTTGAAGAATGCGTGATTTAAATGAGATGGTTTGTTAAAGCTGAAATCTAGAGGATTTTTTCCCCAGAGGGCACCATCTACAGGTGGATAAATGTATTGCACCGTAGGCCCCTCTGCTTCCATGATTACGGCTGAATGCAATGTCCCTCGATCGTGAACGCACACCTGTAGCCGACCAGCAGAATTGAAACACTCCCGTTTAACAATTATTAATATATATATATATATATATATATATATATATATATATATATATATATATATATATATATACACACACACACATTTCCATAAAAAATGTTGCCAACTCTGTCTCAGTCTACCTCTGCAAACACTTTTACGGATTTCGAAAAATCATACATAATTCCTGAACGACTGGAAACTCCAGATTGAGTCATCCAAAAAACATCTGAACACATCCAGGAGAATAATAAAAATTTTCATTCCTTGAGAATATTTTTTTATAAAAGTACACAAGAGTAAACATGTTTTTTAATTAGCTTTAGCACATTGTGTTTTTCTTGAAAAAAAAGATGAAAATCTACACATAATGCCAAAAATTAATATGTTGATTCAGTTTTTATTATTTTAACATGAATCAAATCCAACTGCAAATAGATGTTTAAAATAAAACTCTTTTATGCATGTGTGGAGGCGGGGGACAGAAGTGAGAAGTGGTGACTACCCTCAGACTCACCACGTTGACTATCTAATGCATCTGAGTGTGTCACTTTGATGAATTATCCCCGTGTGTGTGTTTGTGCAACAAGGTGTATCTGTGTGGGGTGAACTTACAGGTAAAGTGCGACTCCCGTGCAGAGCGTTGATGGCGGCCTGGGCCTCTGCGTTGCTCTGGAACTTTACAAATGCACAACCTACATGAAATGACACACCATTAAACATGGCCTACAACACACACACACACACATACACACACATTTAGGATTTCAAAACTACTTTCCTTTAAAAATATATTAGAAGCTGTCTTAGAACCAGCGCTCCATCAGTTACTGTGGCGTCGTTAAACATGGTTCACAGAACATGCATCGCTTCATCAATCATAGCCCGTAAACCACCAAACGCATCATTAGCCATGACCCATAAAACCTATTGCACTATTAGTCATGTCTCATGCAACAAACGGGGAAAATCTGGCATCTGTGTTTGAGCTGTTGCTGCATTTTGATTTACACGGCAAATATCATTAGCATTGTTGTTAGTGGCGGCGGTAATTTATATCAGGGGGTAGTAATGCGCTGCAGGCTTCACCGTCAGGGTTACAAACAGTTAAACAATGTCAATACCACTTCACACCCATAACCCAGAGACCAGTCACAATCAAACACAGTTTTACCAAATATTTGTCTTCGAGGGATAGTTCACATCTTTTGAATTGGGTTACTACATAAAGGGTATGAACATAAATACTTCACTTGTTGCAGATAGCTCTTTAACAGGCTAATTTTAGAGAAATAAAGGGTTTTGACCAGACAAAAGTGCTAGCGGCTACTTGCTATGAAAATTGGAAGCATTGCTGTTTAACAGCATTAACACTGCTTTAAAATCGCCATTTCTAAACTCCCAATGACAAAAAATGTCACGGAAATTCTCCCACAATGCCACAACTGGCACTGATTTGTGGTCCCTTACAGAGCACTAAAATTATTCTGGTCATTGAACACCTTTTATGTCACACAGTCACTCTCCCGGTCACTTGAAAAGATTAAATTACAGCATACTTTGGCAGGATAAAACTTTTAATGTCAATGTCCGTGGACGCCTTTTGAAATATATGTAAATAATGTTAAAGTGATGAAAAAGTTTAAAAATAGTGATTTGCATCAAATGGTATGCAGTATTTGAATTTGATCCCAAACTAGCCGTTAACTTGTACATAAATACACGTATTTCCCAGTTTTTCTGCTCCTCGCATAAAAATAGCTTCAATATTACTTGAAAGTTATTGTAAATAAGCAAAATGCTAAGGATGTCCCGATACAACTTTTTCACTCCCGATACAATACCGATATTGCAGCTTTCAGTATTGACCAACATCAATCCGATACAATATCAGCACAAATCACACATACTTTTACCTGTTTCGTAGTGTGGAATGTATAAAAAAGGCTTGATCATGTGATATCACTCAATCGGAGAACAATAACCAATAACAGTTAGTATGAAAAAAATTACAATTACAATTTTTTTTAACCATTAGTGTCAAAAGTGTGTATCTATTTGTATGACATGTTATTGTACATTATCTTAAGATGACTGACTGAATAAATTGATCATTCATTCATTCATTAATGGACTGCAAGTATCCGAGAATCCGATAGTGTTTTTGGGCCGATATCGAATTACTTCCGATATCAATATCAGAACGGGACATCCCTACAAAATTTGTTTGATTTCAGGTAGTTAAATCACTGCACCACAAAGCGAATTCATTCCTGTTGGCTAAATGTCAACGTAAGACAACAACAACAACTTGTTGAAGATGTTTTTGGACAATTTCTACAACGTTATGCTGGTTTCTTTCTTAATTAAGCAACTCTGTTGTTTCAGTGTAACACATGGACATTTAGTACTATCAATTTATTATTTTATGACAATTTGTTGTAATTGGTTCAGCAAAACTTTTTTTATTTGTTCTTAAAACTTAATATCTCAAAATGTTGTGTGGTGAATTCAAACAAATTTGACCTTGCTTCTGAAAAGAAAACATTAATCACTAACAGTATAGAGGTTTTACTTCTCTGTGCAATATTTCATGTTTAAATAAATAAATGTCACATGTGATATCTAGCAGCACTAATAAACATCTGCAACCAATTAGGTAACACCAAAGTCTGCACAAATTATAAAAATAGTGAAGAAGACTAAAGGTTGCAGAACCGCAAAACACGATAAAACCTGCAAAATCTTTTACTGTTATTTTAGTGTCACAAAGACAATGACTATGAGGGTCTACACTAACAATATGTTACATATCATAGTTATATTTATTCATTTTAAAATGATCACTTAGAGGTGAAAAGTCTTCAAATACAAGATTAAAACAGATAAAAATGCATCTTTTCACATAAAAGTTCTATTGATTTGTAAAATAAAATCTATTCACACATGTCTGTAAAGTGGCTGCTTTTTATGTTGATTTAATGCTTCATTTGAGATATTTTTCCACCTGTTTTTCTTTGGGATCGTGATGTGATTTGACATTTTACCTTTGCTGGTGCCATCAGGCCCACGCAGCACCGTGCACTCTTCTATGCTGCCGAACGGCTCGAACATTTTCCTCACATCTGCGTCCGTCTGCTGTTTTCCCAGCATACCCACAAACAGCTTCCTGTCTTCTGAGGGGAAGGAGGTCACCAAGATGGAGGGGGGAAAGCGGGATCATGTATGAGAGAGAGAGAGAGAGAGAGAGAGAGAGAGAGAGAGAGAGAGAGAGAGAGAGAGAGAGAGAGAGAGAGAGAGAGAGGGGAGGGGTTGTGAGCGAGATAATACACACAGTGAAATGGAGAGGTGTCATGTCACTGTACATGCATGAGCAACATGAATGTGAGCAGTATCAAAACAGACTGCAAACAGCCAGAAGTACGCCAGAGCTCCACCAGAGGGCAGTAACACGAGCAGTTCCACAAACAAACAGCATCTGGCCGTGACTCAAATGTTTGTCACCCACTGAGAAGCTGCTCTGTCTGTTTCAGGAGGATCAAACCCACGTTTCTGAATCCTGGAAATCACTCACTACAAATCATCGTGTTCCTGCAGACTATTCTCCGACAAAATACAGAACGCTACAAAGCGCAGAGATGCCGTCGTTCATTTACATCCAGCTTAAAAATCAGGAAGGCTGCAGATGAAAATGTGCTTTGATTAGAAACAACTGCTTGGGTGTAGATGCTTTAAATGTTGAGTCAGTACATGCTTTAAACTAAAAAAAACTTTAAATTTTAAAGACAAATTGATCAGTTATGCTAACATGAAATACCTGCTTATCAGGTGAAGTAAAATAGGGTACTGTGTGTATGCTTGGTTATGATTTTATAGGCCTATAAGGAAAAAAAAGACGTTAACCAAACAAAGTTTGAATTTTTGAAAAAGGCGGAGATTATATCAAGCATCCCTAAAATGTCAGTTAAAGCTTTGTAAAGTAAAGATTCTCAAAAGTCAAACTAAATCATGATCAGTGGCACGTTGGATGGAGTTGGGGGTCAGAAGCCTGTCATCAGCATGGAGGTCTAATGCCAGCGTCTGTGACTGTCTGCTTTAGAGCCCTCAGCAGCTTTAATCTGCACATCTGTGAAGGCATCATTAACATATGAGTGTGTTTGTATCACATTCAGACCTGCTGCACGTTTTTCACCCTACAAGCCTGATGAGATTCAGGCAACACGTCAAGTTTGTCATTAATTTTTTTTAAATACATGGATGTTTGTAACAATCTAAAATTAAAGACTGGCTGCTTTGAGGTGAATTTGTTTTGGATTTTAGGAGTTCTAGTCAACGTAATGGTCAAAAGATGTCTTAAAAAAACTAAATAAATTCTATCTGAATGAGTGATGGAGCAATAAACACCAGCTGCTGATAGACCGAACAGTCGACCAAAACTGCAAAGCCCGACACACCAAACTGTGTATAGCCCGGATTGATTACAAGAAAGCCTATGACTCAATGCCACACTCATGGATCACTGAATGCTTGGAGCTGTACAACATCAACGGGACTCTTAAGAGCCCTCATTGCAAACTCAATGGGGCTGTGGAAAACCACCTTTGAGGCCAATTGCACAAGTCTCCATCAAAGGTGGCACATACCAAGGACATGCCCTGTCCCCACTGCTCTTCTGCATAGGTCTGAATCCCCTCAGCCAAATAATCAGCAAGACTGGCAATGGATACCAACTCAAGAATAGAAACACAATCGGCCAACTCCTCTACATGGATGACATTTAACTGTACACCAAAAGCGAGCGAGACACTGACTCATTGATCCACACCACGAGGATCTACAGCACTATCTGGACTTGAGAAGTGTGGTCGGATGGTGACAAAGAAAGGGAAGTTAGTCCAAACAGAAGGGGTGTCCTTCTCAGGAGGAACAACAGCATTGAGGACAGCTACAAGGGCCTCGGTATCCCACAAGCAAATGGCAACCTTGATGAAGACGCAAAGAAAGGAGCCACAGCCAAATACCTACAATGAGTAAGGCAAGACCTAAGAAGACAGTTCAATGGCAAGAACAAGATGTGGGCATTAAACAGCAATGCCCTGCCAGTAATCAGATATCCTGCAAAAATAATAAGCTGGCCAAAGAAAGAAATACAGACCACAGATGTTAAGACACAGAAAGTCCTAACCATCCATGGAGGGTTCCATCCCAAATCCAGCACCCTGAGAATGTACACTAGCTGTAAGGAAGGAGGCCAAGGACTAGAGAGTGTGAGAGCAGCTGTCCAGGATGAAACATCCAAGATCTATACATCAAGGATAAGGTCCAAAAAGATGATATGCTCAGTGGATGTCTCAGACAATGGCGAACAGAGACAAGACGCTGAAAAATACCAACGTGGGAGGACAAACCCCTACATGGGATGTACCACAGATATATAACTGAAGTGGCTAAAATCAAGAAATCCTACCAATGGCTAGAAAGAGCTGGTCTGGAGGTCAGCACAGAGGCACTCATCATGGCTGCACAGGAACAGGCCCTGAACTCAAGAGCAACAGAGCCCAGTATCTACCACACCAGACAAGACCCAAGGTGTAGGCTATGCAAAGAGGCCCCTGAGACAATCCACCACATAACTGCAGGGTGTAAGATGCTGGCAGGGAAAGCATACATGGAACGGATGGAACAGATACATCTGTGCAGAGTTTGGACAGGAAGCCTCAAGGTCAAAGTGGGCCACACCCCTTTAGATGGTTGAGAATGATAGAGCCAAGTAACCCCCAAACTGGAGGAGTGACTAAAGCAGATCCCAGGAAAAACACCAGACATCTCAGGCCAGATATAAAGCTTATATACTGCGCAGAACCCTCAAGCTCCCAGGCCTTTGGTAGAGGACCCGAGCTTAAAAAATGCTCTGTTATAAAGAGACAGCACTGTGACTGGCCTGGCCTACACTTATCAAAGCCAATGGGAGACTTGCTGAGGCCACAATGGAGCGTGGCTAGACCCAACCTGCACAGCAAAATCTTTTGCTACTACTACGGTTGGTCTAGATTTCCAGGCTATGAATTATCCTGACATAATCCTACATTCTGCATGTATTTTGGTCAAACAGCTATTAATCTGAACTTCAGATTTTGAAATATGTAATGCATTATGCAAATAAAAATGCAAAAACTGAGAAAAATATCTAATTTGGTAAAACAGGAAAGATGTTGTTTTAAAAATGGCAGATAGCAGATATAGCCTATAAACCGTAGCAGCAGCTAAAAATTTTGCTCTACAGGTTGGCCTAGCCACGCCTGAGTGTGGCATCAGCAGGAATACCATTAGACTGAACTGTTTTGCATCTAGCCAATCACAGCACTCTATGTTTGTCGAAAGGCACTGGGCGGGCTTAGCACCCGAGCTATGATGGAGAAAAACTAAAAAGATGGCGTCAGCTCAGGGACAGCGCTTGTTTAAAATGGTTTTGGCATCAACTCTGGACAAGAGGGCTTTTCTTTAAGACATGAGCAGATAGAGGTACTTAAGACATTTATTTCAAAAAGGATGTATTTGCTTCTTCTTCGTCTTCGTCAATGGTGTATGACGGACTGCCCTGTTGACTGATTTTCATAACAGTGAGTATATCCCATTTCCTGTTGTTGCTCCGATTGGTCCAAGCACTGTCCTAACTATGTGCGGAGACCACTTCTACAACCATAGGGTCTGCCCCAACTACTAACCTCTGTTTATGGGTCTTTTATATATATATATATATATATATATATATATATATATATATATATATATATATATATACATATATATATATATATATATATATATATATATATAGAGAGAGAGAGAGAGAGAGAGAGAGAGAGAGAGAGAGATATAGATAGATATATAGATATATATAGATAGATAGATAGATAGATGATAGATAGATAGATAGATAGATAGATAGATAGATAGATAGATAGATAGATAGATAGATAGATAGATAGATGATAGATAGATAGATAGATAGATAGATAGATAGATAGATAGATAGATAGATAGATAGATAGATAGATAGATAGATAGATAGATAGATAGATAGATAGATAGATAGATAGATAGATAGATAGATAGATAGATAGATAGATAGATAGATAGATAGATAGATAGATAGATAGATAGATAGATAGATAGATAGATAGATAGATAGATAGATAGATAGATAGATAGATAGATAGATAGGATGACTTGGCTGGCTAAAAAGCAAATACCTTAACACAACTTTTTAAACAGTTTTCATATTTTTCAGGATCTTTGTCCTTTCTTCTGTGGAATGTTAATTTTTTACGCCACATTTGGTGCTCCTTTTGTGTCTGTTTATAAAATGCTTTCTGAATTAAATTCATACAGACTCATTTTACACATATTTTATGACATGACATCTCAATAAAAAACATTTTTTTCAAAGATAATCTGATTCTGTTAGACAGTTTTTGGCAAGGGGTGTCTTATTTTGGGTGGTGTTTTCTGAGGGAGGACAGGTTTCTCTTACCCCCTCTGCTCTCGCTGTCTGCTGGCTTCACCTGGATCGGGCGGTTCATCTGCAAAAGAATATGATCCTTTTAATTACAGGAGGATTGACATTCATTTATGGACAAAAACACTAAAAATAAACAGCAAAAATCAAGAAAATGTGTTTTTTACACGCTTTATGTACTGTAGCCCTTCAAGCTGATCAATTAGTGCAGACTTGATTTGTGCCTTTTTAAATTTGTCCAATTGATTTTCTGCGTTACTTATTCACTAATATTTCTTGTTTCCCCTTTTTTTTATCTTCCTACCACTCCAGCCGACCACAGCTGACATAGATATGTGTCACATTACATTTGCAGTGTCATACGGCCGCTCTTCCTCATCCTAACCACCTCCTCTCTGAGTCTCTCTCTCTGAATCGGCTCTAATCCAGCCGTCTATGGGTTCCTCTCCCCCATCACACAAACCAAGAGAAGCACACACACACACACATGCACACACCCACGCAGGATTGGTGAAGTGATAAGATTAAGAACACTCGCCAGCTAATCTGGATTAAAGAAGCACACAGCACCAGAATACACAGAGATTCTGATGGAGAGGCAGAGAAAAAAGGAAGAATGTCTGTAAAAAAAAAGGGGAACAATGACGGATAAGGAGTAACCTTTTCATAATTCATCAAGAGCCTCGCTGCTGAAGCGTCTTTCTTTACCTCGTTATTCTACTGTTTAACTAAAGCCGTGTGTGAAAGTGTGCACACGTCAGCGTCTTCACAGCTTGTCCTTCAAACGTATGGAGCGTGAAAACGGTGGAAAAGACGGAGACAAAGAATGAACACGAAAGGGCAGAAAGGGGAGACGAGTGCGATTGAGAGGGACTGAAGGGAATGGAAAGGAGCATATGGAGCAAAAGGAGGGAGGTGGGGGAGATGCAGGCGAAGGAGCAGAGACAAGGGGAGGAGGGGGTGAGAAGTTGAGATGAGAGCAACAGAGTGACACTCTGTTAACTGTGGCTTAATGAAGGTCTTAATTATGGAGCTGGTGACATTTCAGCCAGTCACTGATCCCGTGTCACTGATTGATCTGCTGTGATCGGTCACCGGGAGACACGATCGATCGGTGCAGCGAGCACCATCCTGCTGGCGGGACCCGCATGACCAAACACCCCCCAATCGAGCTTCCACGGAGCTGACCCTACCCGCTGAAATACCACCAGCACCTGCTACAGAGGGCTCCTGCATCTCTTCATCCAGAGCATCCTATTGATCGCTCCAATTAATGGGATGATGGAGGGAGCATCTTCCAATCAGTCAGGCAAATGGAGGTGTCCTCCTGCAGCCGCACAATTTTAGTTATTGGAAAAGTTTTTGTCCTCTGAAGAGAACTTCCTCCTGACTGGGCCTGAGGGCCGAAATTTGTCAACCCAGGAAACAAACTAAGTGAAGATGATTTAGTTAGTCCATGTAAAGGCCTTCCAAAATATTGTTTGTTACAGAATTTATTGTTTTAAGCCACAAAAACATTATTTTGATATGAATTTCACAATTCTGAATCACTTTAAGCAGATTTGCATGAGAAAAAATTATATTGGTCAGAATTGTCAGATCTCAGCATTTTTTTTTTCACATTTTATTTCATTAAATCCATTCAATTTAATTTCAGCTTTGAAATTAAGACTTTCGAAAATGTAACTACTTTAAAATTGCGTTTAAACAATGGAAGTGCTTGGTGAGGATTTCCGATAAAATATTATTCCAAAACAATAAAAAGATCAAATTCTTTAAGAAGGAAATCAAAGTGGAAAAACAAGATATTTCACAGTGGAGTATCCAGTCAAAACCACAATAAAACACATATGAGCCATCTCTGATGGATGCTTTAGAAAAAAAAAGGCCACAGCCCATATTTCAGCGCAGGCAGACAAACGGAGACGGCCGTGGAGCCGGTGATAAGAAGCGGAGCGGCAGATGGCTCGGGAGATTGGAATTAGAATATACAAGAGGGAAAACAGTGAGAAGTGGAGGCCATAAAGCCTGTGCCACTTCAGATCGGCACGGCAACCATTCCCACAGCTCTGACGAGGGCCGTGCACACATGGCCATCGTCATGACAACCTCAGCAATGACAGGCTCACATCAGGTAAACAGGGTTACCCTGAGCAACGTACGGAAGAGACGCGTGAAACAAAAAAAGATGAAGCAGATGAGGAGGACAAAAGGTGCTTTTAGGTCAAGAGATGGAGGGATGACATGTTTGAGGGAAGAAGAGGAAAAAGGGGGAAAAGCAAAGATGAGAGAAAAAATATATATTTTAATAAATGAGATGATGGAGGGCGCGTTCGTGCCTGTTGAATGTTGGCGCTGCCTCGAGAGCAGATGCAGAAGCAGGGAGAAAAATATCTCCCTCTAAGCCTTAACCGCTAACACACACTTTACAGTAATTTGCTCTCTCCCTCCTCCTCCTGTTGCTCCCCTTTCCCTCCCCCTCAGCTTGTTTACAAAAACAGTCCCATACCGTGCGCAGACAACACGCGGGCACAACCTGCCTGATCAAAAACCCATTACGCCAGAGTTTCTTTTCTATTTGATTTTTTTCTCTCTCCAAACACCACATTATATACAATCATCCTCTGAATAAATGCACAATTTCTCCTCCCAAGCACACATCACGCTCCACATCTTTCTGTGATGCTTACTGGGGATTTGGCTGGGATTATGAGATATTAAACTCATAGATTATCCAATCAAATCACAGCAAGACCCCTTCGTTGCAGCGCCTGACCCCCACCACCAGTGTTCTCCATCACAACATCAACATAAATGTGTTTTAGGGACATTTTTCTGCTCTCTGTTGTTAGGATCTGCATGATTACTCCCCCCCTTTTCCTCCCCCGGTGCAGCCACTGTTTTGGATTCTGGCTGATGTGTGAGGTTGACACATTTCTGCCGTCTGTTTTCTCTTCGATTTCAGCTCATTTCGTTTGCCTGCTCTAAAAAGCAGCCGCTCCGAATGGTAAATAAATCAGCAGAGAGCATCACCCCTGCTCCTCAGCAGGGAGGCTGAGCTGGAGGGGGAGTGGCTGGGGTAAGGGAGGGATGGGAGGTAGGATGGGGGACAAAAGGGAGGGGTAGCTGGGTGGGGCGTTGAGAGTGAGGGAGAAAGAAAGGGAAGGGGGGGGGGGCACAAAGACAATTTTTTGTCTTCACCTCCCCTCCGCTCCATCACACACAGCGCTGGTCATTGCATCGTGTTGGTTGCCTAGCAACCTGGCATCCCTCGTCCTCGTCGTCTCCAGGCAACGAGACCTGCGACCGTAATCAACCTGCCACCCCCCGCCCTCTCTCCCGCCGCTCCCTGCTCTGTGTCTCTCCCATCTCTGCTGCTGTTTCTGCTCCCTCGCCTCGCCTCGTCTGCATCCGCCTCCTCGTCGCGGATCTGCGTCTTAATGCCAATGAGGTGCTCTTGTGAGTTTAACCCCCAAGAGAAGAAAGAAAAAAACACAGGTGGAAATCAGCTGATTCAAAATCTAAATAAAAGCAGCTAAACAATTAAAATGTTGTTCTAAATGGAACAAGGCAGAGAGCTGTTACTGCTTTTCCACACGTGCACACATGAGCAGACAGTAAAAAAAAAAACAGAGACAAACTCAACCCTTGAAAATCAATCAAACACAAAGAGACGGACAGCTCTACGCTGCTACAGTTCAATAATATTTAATCAATGGCCAAGTATTCAGTGTCAGAGCTGCTTCCTGGTGTTGTCTCAGATCTTACGAGGTTCACTGGCCTGCCCGGTACCTACAAAGACGCTGACAGCTTTTAACACGCAGTCCTTTTGTCAGGCAGCCGACAGAAATCCCTCAAAGTGAAGCAACGGAATATCAAAGCGTGCATTTCCAACAACTGTTTTTCTATCCTCCGACTGTTAAATATTGATGTCAAGTGTTGTTTGACTCGATTCACCGGAGCAGGGGAGGAAAAGAACTAAATTACGGACAGATTTATATATCTGTGACCTACTTTTATAGAGCAAAAACTCAAGCGTGATGTACACACGTTCCATGTGTTTGCATGTTCGCTACACCTTTTAAAATTCTAAGAGCCTAATGAGTTTTGTGACAGCTGCCCAACCCCCTAAAAACACACCATTTCTGAGTAACAGATGTCTGTATTTAAGCTGATAAACACGCTGCCTCAGTGCACCTCCAGCAGCATCAACCTTCACCACCGCCCACTCTTCATTATCTCAAACTTTCATTATTTCTTCCTTCACCCTCATTATTATCCCCCATCCCTCCTTCATTTATCCATTTTGTTTCTAATTCACACCCTTTTATCACCTCTCCGGATCTAATCTGCATTCATCATTACAGTCGCCTCAGAGTGACGTACAGAGGACGAGCCCTTCTTGTGTTCTCAGTCCTGCGTCATCCCCGTCGAGAGTAGGTATGCATGCATATGTAAATGAATCAACGCACGAATGCACACTTAACTCCACGTAGATCCATCAAGCGAAGACTTTCACTCTGGGGCGTACTAATTGCTATCATCATAATCATCCATATCTCACTGACGTTACTATACGGGTTACATGTGAAGGCACTGCTTTCTCTTCATATGTCGGACAACTGAACTGCAGGTCGACATCATAAAAGCCCATTTCAGCACACATATCATTTGATTTTGGTTTTGCATAAATTGTTGGTGTTATTTTAAGTGACAGGTTGAAATCACACAATGCTAACAAGAATCTAATTGGCGGTAATAGCTAATGGGTATCTATAGGATGTTTGCAGAGACATTAAAGTCAAAAGCTATGAATAATTAAGAAATCACAGCTCTTTGAATGACCTCAATTTCCAGAGGCAGAGATTAGCTGTGACTGGATTGACAAGCTAACAGCTAGACAATGTGCTCTAATGTGAATTGTTGCAGTCTTAAAACAATTTTAATCTCAATAATTTTTTAGAAAACTTATAGAAACCTACATGTTACAGTCAAGTTTAGCATCACATGGCAGTTTACATTGTATTACGGAGTTATTTGTTAGCACCAATGGCTACCAGTTCC